ACTTCTCTTCTCTCTCTCTCTCTCTCTCTCTCTCTCTCTCTCTCTCTTTTTCTCTTTTTCTATCGTTACAAAAAATTCTGATAACATTTTTAAACGCAACGTAAGAAAAAGGAGTAAAAATACAACAGAGATTATGTTTACTAATGTTATTATCGCGTGTTTTTCTAGTCCGCGAAAGATTTGTGATATATGTTTCAAAAAAATGTATAAGAGAAATTATTTATTGTTACCGATCCTTGATCGATCTGCCGTAAAGCATTTCGTTGTGAAATTGAAGAGTACCTTGAATGCGTTATATCTTTTCGACGTGTATCATGAATGACCTGTGATTTACACTGAAACTTTCATATTGAAATTTCAAATAGGCTCGATGGAGAAAATGTAGTCCGCGAAGATGGTCTTCGAAGATCTTTGTATCGATCGGAGAAAACATACGGGTTTCTTGTAATAATATTATTCACTTTGCGAACGTTACATATGGTGGTAATGAATGTTACGCTGTCTCGCTACAAATACTTACGCATTGAAACCGTTAACGATTAGCCGTTACAAATTTTATGACTCGAGTTCTTCGAAATTGATATTTGGATGTGTTTACAGCTAAGATATAGGCATGCACCTCTATAATCCATTTCCACCAATGTCTATTAATTTTAATTCCGGTTTAATTTATTCTTTGTCTTTCTCCCATTCTTAGAATTGAAAAAGATAAAAATTAAACCGCGCGAGATTAAAATTAATCTGCATTGGTGGATATGGACACAACTTTCTTCTCTCTACAGAGATTAGGAATGAAGTCGGAAGATTTTCCGACGAAACTTTTAGAAAGTATAAAATAATATATACAGATATATACAGATATACACACACACATACACATCACGTACACAAAAAAAAAACACACACACGACGAGATATGACACACATACAATGGATACACACGTACCACGCTTCTTTTATATTATATGATATAACGCGTTAAATATATTTCATTGTTATGAGTTTACAAGATCTAGATAAGGATTACGAATCCGTATCTCTCTCTATCATTAAGTTTACCATATATATTTGAATAATATATATTGTATTATCACATAATCTGTTTGCACATATCCTATCATCCTTCACCGATTCATCCTTTTCCCCTTTCTTCTCTTTCTCTCATTCTCTCTTTTTCTCACAATACTCCTTATTCATCTGAAATGTGCATCATCTCTTTAAAAAAGGTGTACTTTTTCATATAAAAGGCATTGCCAAAATAAATATGGGGTTGGAAGATTAAAAGTGAAAATTTACTTTCTTGTTTTACGCCTTCATCTATTTTCGGAATATCTGTATATTTTCCATTCATTTCGTTTATTTGTGCTTTATTCATCTACCTCTTCTACAAGAAATAAATTGAAATAAACTGCAAGATATTTGGTTTAATATTGTTTAATATTTATTCATAGAGAGAATTCATTGATTTGAATATTGATATAATATAAATCAATATATTAATATCAATGTTTGTATAGATGTCCCGTTATTACTACAACTTCTTTTAAAGATGTGTTCTTGAGATAATTTTGAGACAAAAATCCTAATACAAAAATACTAAGCTCTAACATTTTTCAAATTATAAATGATTAAAGTTCACCAATTGTAATGGCTAAGATTCACATGCTATGATACATTATAATGCGTAATGATAAAGACGAATAATCATAATCACATTTAGAATTTACATTATTAGTTTCATGTTTTATATGAAAGATATGAAACTAACAATGTAAATTCTAAATTTCAAATTGTTCCTTTTTCCATTTTTATATTATACCCGCTTGAGCACGAAATTGTAATTATAATTGATGAATTTTGATCGTTTATAATTTGAAAAGTATAATCTCGACATTTCGTATTAGGATTTTCGACTTTAAGTTATCTCAGTAAATTATCAATACATTCTTAAAAGAAAATGCAAATTACGAGATATCATGTATAATTGATATGAATTGACTATAAATTGATTATAATCAAGAATTTATTAGAAAAGTTCCATCTGTTAAATAATTTCTTACATGCAAATATATATATTTACATGTAAGAGAGTATGAGATGCAGATCTCATACAGACTAGTTATATCCTAAGAAATTGTATTATCGCTATATCTTTATTAAGAATTTTTCTTTATCATAAAGAAGTTGTCTTGTAACGATTTTATGACATTTCAGTTTCTAATTCTTTTAAGTATGGTAATAAATCACCTAGTTCATCTATATAATAGTGTGGTACGAGGTCCCGTTCTTCTTGTCGCTCAGACTTCTTCCATTTTTCAATATCCGACAACGTGGTCACCCCTGTCAGGACTAACAGAGTCATAAAGCCGCAACGAATTCCAAAAAGTATATCGGTGTTACATCGGTCTCCGATCATTAAAGTGCGCTGTGGGTCGATGTTGGATCGTTCCATCAACATCTTAGCCATGTATTCGTCCGGTTTGCCCATAATCACTGCTTTCCTTTCTGAACAACTTTCTATACATCTAACCAGACTTCCCGTACCTGCGTAAAAGAGTTACAGATTTTTTAATTAACAGCATGTTACAAATACAGTTATGTAAATCATCTTGATGCATACCTGGTATTACAACATCATTCGAAACTGGATATCTCTCATCAGTATTGGTACCAATAAAGTGTACATTAGCGTCGCTCAGATATGTAGCTGCTTTTACCATCTTGGGATAACTAAAATGTTCATCATAACCGACTATAACTGCGGCTACTTCGGGATCTTTTTTAAAAACGGAATATGAGATATTTTGATTAAGTATATCCGGTCCTATACCACAATACGAGATACCAGCAAGTTCCAATTCCTTTGCGATCGCTGAAAATAGATAAGTAGCTGGAGTAGAATAATTAGGTATCATATTGTAGTTTAATTGACTTGGATCTTCACCTTCGGAACCAATAACATAGACTTTCTTGTGGAACCCTAAACTTTGCAGATAGCACGCCGACAGATAAGAGGTGCACAGAATATCTTCCTGATTTGCCTGAAACTTAAGTGCTTTGCACTTTTCCACCAGACCATCACGCGTCTTCATGCTGTTGTTTGTCACATAGAAGACTCGTTTGCCAAGCTTGCGGAACAGATTGATGACGTCTGCCGAGTTCGGCAGGGGTGTCATGTGTATCCATAGCACTCCTAAAAAAGAGACCTGAAGAATCATCATACCAAATATGCTCAGGTGCAGTCTTCACTCACCGTCGCAATCGGTCAGCACGGTGTCGAACGAATTCAAGAATTTTTGGATATTTTGACGAGTGAGCGCTTTCACGTTTATCGCGGACATTATCACCTACAAAAACGACGACATGTATCATGAACATCAGATTGACATAGATGAATATATACCCGCGTTATCGTCATGGAAATTTTTACTTATTATTTGATAATATCGCCGACTAATCGGTATTTATCAGTAACGGTGAACCAAACGTATATACAATGACATTCGATAAAGAATGGCACAATCAGCTGAGATCTTCCTTTGTCACTTGAGGAAGATAGAAGCATGCGGTCTCGCAGGCTGCGTTCCGCATATTCACTGCCAGTACTGAAAATATATAGTTCAGGTCACGTATATTATAAATTTTCAGTACTGATGGTGAATATCGGAACGCAGCCGCAATGTCTCGACGTATAGGTTGTCTTGCAATCCGCAATTTTAAATAAGAGTACCCCATAAGTAACAGTTCGATCAAGCTTTTGAAATTGGATATTTTTTGTAATTTTGAAAGCGTTCAACATTTTAAAATTTTAAGTACTTCTATAAATTTTGGTTTAAAGAAATAAAAAAAAAAGGAGTAATACAACCGAGTAATATATTCTCAATAGTCCAAGATGATTCATACTGGAGGTTAATTGTGTATCTTGAAACAAGATGAGAATTACAAAAGTGAGGAAATTTACTAGATTTAGATGTATAAAATCGCAGATACTCTAGTGAATTTCTTTTTTTTTGTAATTTTCATCTCATTTCAAGATTTCAAGACAATTAACTCCTTAGTAAGTTATCTCTATAAGAATTTTGAAATTCATCGAAAAGCGAAATTAAAGTGAATTTTCGCCACCATTTCAAATTTTCCGAAGCTCATTGAAAAAAAATATTAATTTTTCTGCATTTCGAAATTTATTAGAAAAGGGGATCACATTCCAATAGTATAATACATCTGTTCCACATTGGCCAACGTTTTGGAATTTTCCAATGGATCACCAATCAGAAAATTGGCTAATTAGTGACATGCAACTGATAATATTCAATTTGCTGATTTTGAGGCTGCGTTCCAATATTTACTGCCAGCACTGAAAATCTATAATATACGTGACATGAACTATATATTTTATGGCAGTGAATATTGGAACGCAGCCTAAGTTGAGTGGAGCATGAAGAAAAAAGAGACAAAGAGAAAAAGGATAGAAAAGTATGAAATAAAGAGAGGTAAAATTGAGTCGAGTCAGCCAATCAAAAATGCTATGAGTCTCTATCGAAAATACATGCTCGAAATTTCTCGCTTACATTCTAAAATTTGTAAAAAAAGGCAGAGATCAATTTCTGTTACAAAAATAAAATCTGTTTTCGAAAAATAAAATCTGTTAGAGCCAATTAAAAATTGATAGTTGTCATATTTTATCATAATATTCTGTTTTTTTTTTGCTGATTAATTGTAATTACACATTCTATAAGTATGTTACATTCTTCATAGGTTATATTCAATAAAAAAAGCGACTTATGTTTATTTCTACTTGTAAATTAATTTTATGTTCGATTTACATTATTTTTTATCATTTTTAATTCTAAAAATTAAAAAATCAAAAATAAATTACACCAGGACTAAAATTAATTGATAAATGAACATTTACGATTTATCTTTCTTCTTTATCTCTCCATGTTTGAAGAAAAAAGAGAAAAGTAAATACAAGAAATTCAATTAATATCTGTCTTACTAATATCTTTGTATCAATTATTAATTTTAATCTCAGTTTAATTTTTCTTTATTTTTTTTTAATTTTTAACTGTTTCCCTCTTAAAGAAAGGCAACGGTCACGTTCATTTAAATTTGAAAATTCGTAACAATTCGGAACTCTTCGGAAATAATCGTCTATCGGTTAGTGGCGTCGTAAATATTCAAAGAGAAATAAGCGAAACTGTCTAAAGTTCACGAATAAAAAACGCTCGTATTGTTGCATTAACACGTTGATTTTCGTATCTTTAATTGTCGAAGTGAAATTTCTACCTGCGAAGCTGCATCGTAAACAAAAAATATAACCTGTAAAGATCCAATGTTTTCTGATGGCCAAGCTGAGGTACGTATACATGCTCATGACACGAGAGCTTAGGAAGTATCTTTGTTAATCTGAAGATTGTTGCAGTTTCTGTTTATACAAGCTGCAAACTGTTGAACTATATGTTGAATCTTTGTCGTAGATCACATTCGGAAATCTTGAGACAGACGAGCGTTTCAAAAAATTGGAACGTTCCTTGAAGCTGGCTCTGTTGAAAAAGGGCATGCAAAAGAGCAAAGCTTTGCCGGTGACAACTTGGCCCAGCATTTCAAGTATTAATGTAGATACTTTAGATTCCAGCTGTATGACTCCATCATCGCAAACTTCTGTGATCAAGAGTGAAGTCCTAGCTTCCAGCAACAATCTAAGAAACTTGCTTTTAAAGAAAAGTCATAATATCGCGCAGGATGTAATGACTACATCTAGTGTCAAACAATATCGTACTCAGCAGGAAAACCATATGGATCGTCTTATTATGCCACCACCAGCAGGAACTATGGTTTATCGGACTTTAAAAGATTCGCAGGACAGAATTATGTCGAATTATGAAAAGGCACCATCAACTTTCAATAAATCTATAAAATCTTCCATAGAAAATACATTGTCTTTGACAAGCACTCCCAGTTGGATATCTACTAATAATACACATACTAATCAAGAACATCAAAATGTTTTGGTAGCATCAACAACTCCTGTTATAAATAACATCAGAGTTTTTTCAAAATGGAAAGTTATGTTAAATGACCGATACGAGTTGATAATTAAGGGGACATTGGAATGGTAAGTATAGAATACAATGTTGCATTGATTGGCATTCTTTTAAATAATTTATTCTTATATGCAAACCAGTGGAAGGATTGCACGTAGCAAACCAGTTATTAGAAGATATTCCGCGATGTGTGTTGAATCTAAATACAAGCACAAATACAGTCTTCAAGGAAATATTGTCGATGAGAGAAATGGTAATCATTTATACTAAATTTGATTTAGTAAAATTTTATCTGTATTGATAACTTATTCCTTGAATTACAGCATTACCAGATTATATTCGTGGAAAATTTTATAATGGCTTTCCTGATGATTGGGAGAATGTCTATCAAATATGGAGAATGTACTTTAGCCAGGGATGTCCAGTAACATTTCGTTGGCCTACTCCAATTACTGACAGTGATGACGACTTAAAAAGTGAACTGACAGATTTCACATGTGCACGCGCGAGAATTAACGAAACTGTTCCTTCTGTGGAATCTCATAAGTCAAATGAATATATTAAGGTTGAAGATCTGAGCAACACAACTTCTGGAAAGGAGAAATGTCATAATTATTTTACTCAGAATTCTACAAATTATAAGAAAAGCGCATCACCTGTAAAGTCTTTAATTTTCAATTCTGAAAAAGATATTCCTGTTGTACAAACGAAAAATGTAAAATCACTGTGCAACGAAGATATCGAACAAAATGTCGAATTAAATACAAGTCGATCTTTCGCGTCTAAAAAAGTAATTGAATTAAAAGATATTTTTCAAGAGAATAAATTGAACATTATTATCAAGAATTTGGCAGACCGCAATTGTCCTCCAAAGTATATCGACAAAATTATCGAAATGTTTAATTGTTTGGAGTATGTAGAATCATATGGAACGGGATCGGAAAGCAATAATAATTCGTTGGTTAATTGCGAAATGTCCAAGTTGAAAACAATTCCGCAATCGAGTTTAGCACACGATAACAATTGCACGAGCATTAATAGATTTAAAAACAAAATCGAAATGAAAAGTTACGGACATTCCACCGATCTGGGATACGGAAGCATAAAAAATGATTCTAACGCAGTCTACTTATCGAATCCAGTGAATATCGAATCGGGACATGACAAAGATTCAGATAAATCAGAGAGTGAGACTTATGCAGGCATACCAAAAATATCGATCGGACGAATTTTAAAAACCAGAGACGCTACATCTAGAAATATATATAAACGTAAAATAAAGAAGAAGACAACTTATTCAGTTTCTCAAGAGCCTACAGTGAGTTCAATCGACGCCAAGAAAAATTTACTTCCAGATGAATCTTGCATCAGTATTACGGAGGATGAAGTGGAAACAGTGAAGAACAGAGAGCATGGCAAAATAACGAATGTTCAAGAACCACAAGAAATTATCTTTTTGAGTCATCAAAAGATACAGAGGAATAATTTTGACGAATACGAAAAAAGCAAGTTTGTAAAGTCTGCGCAAAATGAGTCACTCGATGCTTTGAAAGGGCAAAGAGTCAACCGAAATATTTTTACAAAAGAACAGAAGATTCCTTATAGGATTCAGAATACACGTTCACAATTCATTACGGATGTCGATTACACCACGAATTCTGATATCGATATTGTAACTATAAGCACGAATTCGCGAAAATCAGGCAAAAATGCGGCAGGATCGCATGTGGCAGGATCCAATGTGGACCAAGATATTATGATAAATAACGAGAATAATAACGTCTTTCTCGAGAAGCCGTGCGCCTCTCCAAAATTAAATGACGAAAAATTTGTTGAACAATCGAAAAATGAGACTGTTACGAAAAAATCAAAACCTACTATAATCAGTTCAGTACCAGTAAATTTACACTTAACAATAAGTAATGCAAAGCTGAAGACCGGACAATCACGTAGTTCCGACACGGAAAACGAGGATAAGCAGGATACGAATATTCGGTCATCGGAGGAAGCTGATAAGAAATCCATGTTGAAAACAAAATCTGTGATTAATGATTTTAATTCTTATAAGGCAACAATGATAAAAAGAAATATGTCCGATAATGAAAAACAAAAATGAATGGAATAATATAAAACCTATTAATATCTCGCCAAATCTAATGACGACACAGCCTGAAGACAGTAAACTTGGAGATGAGAAGAACATCAAAATATTGATGTCATGGATGCCAAAAATAGTGTATTACAGGAAATCAGCGTCTGAATTAGGTTTAACTTTTCAAGGAAAATTGCTCAAGTTAGTTTTTTTTTCAATATTATAATTAAGGATTAAAGAATATTCAGGATTAATAATTTGATATTAAATTCTACTTCTCTCTTTTTACTTGCAGCGAAGTTGGTCATATTATGAATAGAAAATTTACAACGGATATTGTGCTGAGGCGACTTTCAGGGACTATGATCGAAACGGTGAATCATGAATTTTATGAACTCCTTGGACCTTTGAATGATAACAAGCATTGTAAAATATCAGTTTATTAATTATATGTTACATGATAAATATTTATTAACTAATAACATCGTTTCGTTGTGTTTAGCTATCCCTAGAGAACTTGTAAAACAATGTCGTTACGGATGTCCTGCCAATATCGAGAAATTCTGTCTGACTTGGAAATCGTTGCAACATGGTGATTCTTTTAAATATTATTTATTTTTAATAATTATATATTCTATATTTAACAAAAATTTTCTATTTTTTAGAAAATGTTCAAGAAGTTAAAAAAAAAGTTCATGATACAACAATGGACTCACTGAATGCACCTATTAGTTCGAGAGGTCGTCGGATCTTACCTCCATTATGTTATTGGAGAGGTAAATAAATAGGTTACTGATTAAAATTTAGAGCAAAAGGAATAGTTATTTGAATTTTTGTAATAAATGAATCTAGAGAATAATCTGGAACTATTTTATTATTATTTCTTGTATAGGTGAACGTATAACTTTGAAAGATAACAATCCAATTTATAGTCCAGGCAATTCGCAGGAATCATCATTACTTTCACTGACTGATAATTCGAAAGAAATTCAAAAGAATATTGAGGTATAAATTATTATAATTATAGAAATATTTAGTAATAAAAATATTATTTTATGTAATATTTGTCATAATATTTATTTGATTATTAAATTTCTTTATTAAATATAGGATACTGAAGAAAAAAAGAAAGTAAATCGCAAAAATATATCAACGAAGCAAAATGCAAATAAGAAAGTTCTGCAATCTGAATTAAATAAAATTTCTGATACAAATAAAAATTCGGTAAGTTCATATAATTATATTTCCATTAAGTAAAAATTGCATTCTTTTAATTTAAATGATTGTTATTGAGAAAGATTCGAGCTTCAGAAAAGTCACCTAAAATCAAAGCTACGGATAGTGTACGATTAGATAACTTAAGGAAATCTCGAAAATCTGTCAGTAGCAAACGACGAATAGCACAAAAGTTGACGTTTCTATCTACTGATTCCAGTGAAGAGGAGCAAAAGATGTCACCACAAAAAGTAATGATGATTCAATCAATCGAAATAATGTTTCTTGTTATATTGTTATATTTTTGAGGGAGAAAACATTTTATTCTATCTTTTTTTCGCAGCGTATGCGCAATTTTCGAGAAAACAAAAACGCAAATTCAGAAACATCTCCACAATATACCATGACGTTGAGAAAACGACAAAAGGTAGAAACAAGATCTTCATCTAGGAACATGTCCAAGTAATTTCTACACTTACAGTTTGTATTTTTTACTTGAACAAAAATGCAAAATTGCACGGTTTATATTGTAATTTATTTATTTAGAAATTATGAAGCGTATGCACCACAAAAAAGATATGACGTGACATATCTTTATTATAAAGATATTCCGCAAACAAAGGATGCCCTATCAGAAAATGAAGAATTATCTGCATAATCTTGAGCAGTAATCTCGATATAAATAATTATTTTGTGTGATATTGATAACAAATATGCAAAATTCTTTATTTTAAGAAAATATTTTTATCTTATATATCTCTTTTCTTAAATTTTGTATGTGTAAATCATAAGATCTAAATTTTTGTTCATTTATGTTGATACAATACGAGTGCCATTATTTTTTAATAAAATAATATAAATGTAATATAAATGTAATATAATATATAGTAATAATATTAAATATAAGATTCTCTGGGTAGAAATACAGGATGTATATTTTTAAAAGGAGGAAGAATAAAAGAAACAAAGAGGATTATAGAAATACAAGGCTTTAAATATATTGCTTTCGTGTTTAATGTTGTCATTTAACAATTGTATAAATTGTATGTATGAAATATCATTTGTTCTTAAGTGATATAAGAAACATACATAATTCATTGGTGCGTATTTAAATAAAAATTGCGGACAGTCAATACAGATACAAAAAATAATTATCTTTGTTTTCGTTTTTATATAAGGAAATTACTTGAAAATAAAATATTAAACAGATGCAAGCTATTTAATGATTTCAAGCAAATGCGATAGTACTATAAATGATTTAGATATTTTGCAGACATTTCCTATGTTGATTATTCGAATGCATATAATTTGTAGATTTCTATAGAATACCTAGATCGCTAACGTACTATTAATTATGAATCAGTCTGCAGCAAGTTTTTTAGCGATTTTGTGAATCCATACATATTATATTCTGTAAAGTAGTTTTGACACAAATAACATTGGTAATAATTTTGGACTTATTAGAAACAGACATCATGATTTCTTTTGAAACCATTTAGCTTACTTTCATTTTTCAAAGATAGCAGTCCAGATATTTATATATAGAAGCCTATAAAACAACGCAAGAGTTTAAGAATTGTATGAGTTATGAGTTTGTGTCTAAGTTTGTGGCTGTATCGCTGTTGATATAATAATTAAGTCAAACAGTTCTCCATGCGTACTTATAAGCGTAACGGCACCAATGAAAAATGTTGTAAAATATTTTATTTTTGAGCAATTGTTCAGTTACATAATTGTTTTTCAATGCTATTTTATTAATGAAAAAATATCACGATTTTAATAATACTTAATATATTATTTCTATTGTAACTGATAAAAACTTTCGAAAATTAGTATACAAATAATTCTAATAAATGTTTTATAATTACAAATTACTTTTCATTGATGCCATCAATGTACGGGAAAGTAAATCAAAATTGTCGAGCGCATTCATCAGGCCTTTAGTTTCCATAGACTTTATTATGTACATTATAGGAAAAAGTCGCGCAGTTATAAAATAAATAATTATGCTACAACGCCGTAGCTTATAGTAGCCAATTGATAATTTCGTGATCGCAAACAAAACCTCGCGTGCAAGGAAATGGAAGAATTTACTATACGTGTTGCATGTCGGCAACAATCAACGATCGATTCAACGCGAGTAATCGATAACGTTTTCCTATGCTTGTCGTGATGACATGCATTTGCTATTCATACGTAGCATGATATGATGTAACTAATAAATACAATCGACTATGCACAATCCCGTTAGCTTTCGTCGTATAAGGGAGTACCATCCCCACTGAGAGACATACTCCGTGGACTAGAATTCGTATGTGGAGTGCCTCGCGGGGACTTGTACGACGGAGTACGCGTAGAGGAAGGTCTGCTCCTTCCGGAGGGTGTCGTTCTGCCAGCTGATTCGTCATAGGTACGTGGAGTTTTCCTGGATTCCTCGTACCTGGGCGTCGATCCACTGAAAACATAGTCATTGATAATAATTAAATAAAAAACATTAACATTTTAATCAAGACGTTTAATTTAAAAAACGACTTTAACATAATGTATTTATTATTATACTTACGAGACTCGAGGGCCGCTTTTTAAACGTGCCCATGCTTCAGCGGCTTTCTTCCAATCCGTCGGATCACCGGAGGGAGTAGACAAAGGTGGTGTAGGTCTGTGCGATTGAGCAGACCTATGATGGCTGGGTGTCATCGAGGGCGGTGGTGGATGCACGAAGGGCCCTTGATGATGGCTAGGAGTTTGTTGACCGTATCTAGGAGTGGGCTGGCCATGATGCGGCGTGTGATGGGGAGTCTGGTACGGAGTCATAAATGGAGTTTGACCAGATGGAGTGTACGGGGTATTAGGATATGTGTGCACTCCCCCATAGCCGGTAGCACTAGCCGCTCCGGGCGTGTGCGGTGGGTAGTGATGTGGTGTTTGATTCGCTACTTGCGACAGCGAGTGTAGCATGTGATGCGGAAGATTTTGCGCAACTCGCTGTATCGCTTCTTGGTTCATTCCTGAAATAATTTCAATTGAAATGATGATTAACAAAACTTAACATAGTTAATTTACAGCGCGCGAAAAATTAATAATATGAATAACATTATGAAGTATTTTTACTTTGTTGATTTTTTTTTTAATTTGTTTTTATTTGTTTTGTATTAAGATTTCAAGTTACTACAGGTATGATAATTCGAATAATCGACAATGTTTCCTAATGTTTCCTAATAATAATAATCTGAGTAGACTTACCGCTGACCGTTCCCGGCGTGGTGGTATAAGGCGTCCTAGAAGTCATCGCACCACGTGGCGTACTAGGAGTGGATTGTCCAGGAACGGGATCCCTGAAATGTTCTTTAAACCAACGCAGAAAATCGCTCACCCTACCGAACATCTGCCCTCGAAATCGGAAACCTTCAGATGTCACTGTGACGTACTCGTGACGACAGCGAGTGCGCGGTAAATACGAGAGTAGGAACTTCCCAGGAAAGTTCTGTATAAAAAAAATTATTTTTAAATTAAAATCAAGATTTTCATAAAAATTTGCCAGTTAAAAATTAACATTAAACATTAGCTGCATTTGTTTACCTTAGCTGCCGATATAATATAAGGAATTCCACCAGGATTCTCCTTTTTCTGTTCCTTCAATATCTCTTCTGCTTTGTCTTTGATTCCTTCCACAGTGGGTTTATAGTATTTAAAGTCCAGTAATTCAGAGGCGTAAGCAGCCATAGGATTTACGTGTCGAGCAATGATCTCATCTAAGTCTTCAAACTCCTCATTTCCGATCCATAAGCTCTGTCCCAATGAGAAAGCATTCTCCTTACCCTCCTCACGAACATCAATGTGCTGCAGAATGTCATCGGTAACTTTCCATGTGACTGTCAAGTGGTCAGCACCTTTGCTGCTCGGTCTCACTATTGCTTCGCCTTGTTTCATCGTCTGCATTAATTTTACCGTTTCGGAAAAGCTGATATTGTGAAAAGACGGATGAACAATCACGCGTTTCACATAGATTTGTCGTTGTTTCGCCTTCTTTGCATCTTCTTCTACCTTTATGTCCTTCTGCTCGGCCTCAGTATCGTAAAACGGATCCCGTTGCGGCCTGTAAATTACAATTTATAATAATTTACAACACATTATTATAAAAAATTGTTATTTAGACTGTAAAAAATTTTTTTTTCTATTATTATTAGTTTCTATCTTGTCTATGTAATTTTAAAGATAGATCTGTAGAAGTTGCTTCATTATTTTGTAATTCACTTACCTCCATTCATGATTTTTATCAGCCAGGTCGCTGCTCTTACTGGTACATTCGACGCTGAATCGATCCACCTCAATTTTTATAATTCGGCAATGAATGATCTGTCCCATACCGACTCTCTCGCAGGGATTTGCAACATGCCGGTCTGATAGATTTTTAATATGTATATAACCAGAAATACCATTGTCCAATCGTAATCTCACGCCAGTTGCTTTGCCCGGACAAGCACCGGCATCAAAGTGATTCCATACTTCTGACAACTCGGGAAAATCGTTTTTTAGACAGAACGGACACTGCCACAGACCGCTCTCTTCATTTCGCACCGGATTCGCCTGATCAAGTTGTTCGCCCTGTGGTTTCCGATGACTAATGCCAACCACTGTGGCTAGCACTAACTTCCCGACGTAGAAGGTCTCGGGTGTTTCTTTCGTCAGAACGTCAAATAGCTTCTCCGCACTTGGTGATTGATATGGTACGCGCAGATCCTTATATCGGCTGTTCAGTTCAGCCCTAATATCGTATAAAGTAACACATTTGTTGCCGAAACCCTGCCGTTCGAGTTCTTCCGCGAAAGCATCGAGATCCAAGTCCTTAAGACGCTCCGGCGACTCGAGTATCTCCTCCAAAGCGCCAGCGGGATTGGCGTCCTCGTCATCATATTCCAGAGCGTCAACCGCCATCTTCCTGGCCCATTCATAAGTCTCAGGATGCACGCGCGAACCGTCGAGCACTTCTACATATGCCTCGGTACTGTCGCCTAAGCTATTGGTGTCGATTTTAATGAAGCCAGCGCAATTGATGAATACCTTCGGTCCCATATGACACGCGGTAACCAGCTGTGTTCTATTTTCCAACCGTTGATTTGTCTGTTTCAGCATTTTGATCAAAGCTTGACCTTTTCGCGGGCCAAGACCACAAACAAATTGAACAAGATTACCGCAGTATGCCTGTTGGACTGTCTTATTGATATCTACGCCAACTTCATTTACGCGATTGACGAATTCCAGATACAGATTCTCCAGCAGTTCTTCCTTGGGTAACTGATCCTGTAAATTGTGATATTTGAGACAAAGAATCTCTTCGTCAGCTGTGCACAATTGTGAGAACTCCACCAGCGGATCCTGCATCCTTCTCGCCAGCGAAATAGCCTGACGCAGTAGTTCCGGATAGTCTCGGAACTCCGAGATGCCTTTGTTACTATTGGAATAAATCTTGGCGAGTTCATTGTCGCAGATTTCCACTTGAATATTAGGAAACTGCTCCTCCTCTGTCAGATGAGTGATGCACTCTTTAATGTCAGCGGCGATCATCATCGCCTCTCGAGACTCACCTGCTATTACGACTACATGCGGTTTCTTCGTGGCTATGAAATTTTTCAGCGCTAGCAGATCTGCCTCCTTCATTGTCTTTTCGTCCTCACGATAACTGTTTTTGCGCTTCATTAGATGCGGCAAGCGCAGATAATCCGTACATTCACCGTCGGCTGCGATCAGGCAAGTGAAGGCTGCTTGTGAGTAATCAGGCACGTAGGCTAAGCCCATGACGCGCAGACCTTTACTAGTGTCCCATTCTTCATCCTCCTCGTCGGGAAACTCACAGCTATATGGCGCAACCTTGATCCAGTTATACATCTTGCGACAACACGCGCGCATCACGCATTCCTTCGCCTCGGCGATCAGATTCGTACGCAACTCTTTCTTCAAATGTGGTATCACCATTCGGTTGAGTGCAATCTCGACACTGCCTACGCGCAAAGCATTCCAATCTTGCACGAGCTTGCTAAACTCGTCACGGCAATAAAGCTGCTTCATCTCATCGACATAGTTGCTGCTGGTGTTACCTTCGATGCTATCACTGAGAGTAATCGTAATCAATTTGTCATCCTCGGCGATCATCAAATTCAAGAATTGAACGCCTACAAGATCGCGCACGGGTTTGTCTTTCAAATATTTCATTGTGTAGATCGGATGATTCTCGTCAATTTCTTTGATGCCTTTCTTCGTTGGTTTTATAGATATCTTGGCACGTTCCATATACATCTCGCGCACACATTTGCGTACGAGCGGTTCGCGCGCCAGTTGAATCGCCACCATTAATTGAGCAGCTTTCAACACTTCTTCTGCGGTCTTGAATCGCGAACTGCAATACTCCGTTGCAATTGTCGTCGGCTCGGTTGGCTCTTGATCCACCTCGTGACGTTGGTAATTGTCGCGCAGATTCTCGGCATAATGCTCGGGCGTTAGGCCAAATTTCTTCGCCAAACCGTCCAGACCAGCTTTCCGACAGATTGAGTATGGGCCACTTCTGACGGCTTGCTTCAGTGTTTCGTCGACTTCTTCTTCTTCTGGTATCTCCTCTTCTTCCGGAGGATCCTCTCCATTTTCCTCTGCTTCGGCGATTTGTTGTTTGCGTCGTTGAATCCTTTCTTCGCGCCGTGCCTTTCTCTCCTTTTGACGAACGTCTTCCTGCATAGCTGGAATTTCATGGCTATAATATAGCATGAAATGATTATAAATATCATTAAGCTCTTCACTTGTCTGAACGTTCTTCAGCCGCTCAATATCGTCATCTTTGATCACTCGCACATTGTCTGGCAACGGCGCGTCTGGGTTTTTCATGATTTCATCTAATTGAAAATTACGCATCTTCTCAAATAGCTTGAGCAAGTTCTCCTTTCGCTGACACAGTTGACACCATTTTGCGTCGAACTTGTAGACCTTCCACAGATCGTTAATGTTCAACTCGGGCAGCACGTATTCTTTTCTGTAGAAGGATATAAAAGGGACTTCAAAATGTTGATTGCGCATGAAATCTAAGGCTTTTTTGATCTTGCCGATAGTCTGTGGTCCTTTTCGTGCCCGTTCTTTAGCCTCAGCATTCAAATGAGCATCTTGAATGGAGACTGTGGGTTTGCAAAATGCTTGTTTATAAATCCATTCTGCCTCGAGATCTAATTCATCAGAACCTTCTGCAACTGGTGTGACCGGTACAGATCGAAGTTGCATTCTTTCCGGTATATCTGTGTTACGTATCTGCAATTTAATATCACATCTTATAAATAATGATTCGGAAATAATCAATTCTTAATAAATGCAATTTTTGCTGCATTATAACATTTTAACGTATTTTTATGTATATTTCTTCTGTCGAAAAATGATAAAAATTTCGATATTATAACACAAATTTAATTATCAATTTTTATGCTATGCATCTTAATAGAAATATAGAGATACAGATATAAAATTGTTTATCTAAGTATTTTCAAAAAATATACATACAATGAAGAAAAACAAAAACATATCCGAATTTAACATAAAAAATATTAGATTTATAAATTGTCGCAAAATAATTTGTTTAGCATTACTACATGTTATTAGATGTCATACCTCATTATCCATATCAGTAAAATGGCCGCGTTTTAATTCACTGGGCTCATAAATCTCGAAGATACTCTTTCTCGTGGTCTTTTTCTTCAGCTGTTTCTTCGGTCGTCGTGGCCTCTCAGTATCGGCATCTTCATCCAAATATTCATCCTCCTCCTCCTCTTCTTCTTCTTCTTCATAATCTTCCTCGCCATATTTGCCGAATTCTTCATAATCAAAGTCAACGCCGAAGATATCTTGTGCTTCTTGCAAAGCTCTAAATAAGAAAATATATTTTTTCAAAATAAATTAAAATCTCATCTAAATAAAAATAAATTTATTTTATATCGAGTAACTAAATCTATTAATATAAATATATTAAGGGATATTAAAATATTACAACATACGCGTCAGTAAATATTGGCTTCTTCTTCTTTCTTTTCTCCGCAATGGGTCTACCATCATCATCGACTATGAAATCATCCGCATCAGTATATTCTCCTTCATCACTACCTTCCTCAAAGTTTTCCATGTCGGGTCTATGACTTCGTTCGCTTCGTCTTTCATCCTCCTAAAAAATAAATAAAGACGTTACATTTTTGTATAAATAATCAAAGATACACGAATGTTACATATAAACGTTACATACCGTGATAATATCTCTTTCCTAATATAAGTACGCATGTTCATTGAATGCAAACGTGACATACATGTATACATTTATAAACACGCGTTTTCTTAAATGCCTTTATATAGAATTAAAATCCAACAAAAAAATAACAAGTGCAGATTGCATAAACAAATATTAATGCGGTCTGTGAATTTTTAAATACTTTGCCAAAATAAAGGCATTGTGTTCTATGTGATATATTTATATAATCTTACATCTCCGGAACCTTCAAATAATTCATTGGCAATGGCATCCCTTTCATCATCTGCTTCCTTTTCTTGTTCTTCCTCTGATTCCTCATCTTGGATTCTTCGGAGACGTTTGAAACGTTTCTGTGTCACGAAGTAAAATATAATTAACATTTATATAACATTATTTATAAACTTTTTTGTTATTTTAAAAAATAATTCGGTAAAATTATGCTTACTCTCTCAAGTTTGACGCCTAAATTTTCTTCGATCAAATCATAATCTTCATCTTCCAGGCGATCATCAAAATCCTCATCGTCACTCTTTTTACGCTTTTTATGATGATCAGAGCCATCACTATCTTCACCCTCGCTTTCCTCTATTGGATTATCATCTATCAAGTCTTTCAATTCCTCGCGCAACTGATCCTCATCATCTAAAATATGTGTAAATGCTATATATCATATATATAGACATGTACATGAGTACATGTACATAAGTACATAGTCACAAAAATATAAAAGTTTGAAAATTAATATAAATTAGATTATCTATTATAAGCAATTTTAAAATTAATTAAATATACATATAAAAAAAACATGTCTATAAAAGCATTTATTTATGCATTGCTGCATCAACATGAACGATTGAAAAGATAAGTAAAAGAAGATAAAGGAAATAAATAATAAAATTAGATATTTCAAATTAAGCTCCTTAATTCTTCTCTGTTATTAATTTTAAGTTCTTTCAAATAATTTCTTTTATCCGATTTATTTTTAGATATCTTTGTATATAAAATCAAGATCTTTTTTATTGATAAGAAACCTCTTCGGATAAATTTTTTATTATATAAGTAATAGAACCAAAAGTAGAGCAAGCCTGGGCTAGAAAAGCATTTGTTTGTTTTATTTTTCTCAGAATTCCGAGACATCTTGTATATTATTGATAAAAGTTTATGATATATTTTATTTATATTCACATGTCGTTTTATTTAAATAATTTATTATATATACATAAGTGACCGAACATTAATGATTACACAGAAAAGTAAAAAAAAATATATAATAGAATTGTTTATTGAACTTCTTCTAAATCATGGTAAAAATAAACATTAATTCAATATAACATTGAAATTTATAACATTTTGCTTTATACAATTATACCAATCTGGTAACATTTATCTATCATATTTTATATATAAATACGTCTGCATGATATATCTTCTATTTATTTAAATATCTTCTATTTATTTATTTATTTAATTTCTGTACATATCTTGTGTATTTTATTTTACTGAACTAAATTAACATTTTTCAATATCTTCTTAAATATTTTATATTATGTGAAAAGTTTTTTCTTCTATTTTAACAGTAAGAAGATTATATATAGTTTAAATTACAGAGAATTTTTAAATTCCTAGATTTTTAATTCCTGATAGAATTAAAAATAAAATAAGAAAGCAAGACTAGACAAAATAATTTTTATTCTGGCTTAAATGGTACATAGGTAATAACACTTTAGCAATAAATGATTTAATCAATCAAGTCGAGATTTCTCAAATGTGTAGGATTATTTTAACACTCTTGACTATGATTGATCAATTTACTGTTTAGATTTTTCCATATATCACTAACTTTAAATCTAACACTAACTTCCAGCTTTATGCAATAGACAGACTGCTTGATTTAAATATGTTTTGATAAATTTCCTAAATATTCTTGTTGACTATTCTTTATGGCTAATGCATATTGTTTAAAATAAAATCGATGTATATTTAACATTTGACGAAAACAAGAAACAAAGTTTTAATATGGTCCAGCAATAATATGATGCAACAATAAAGAACAAATTTATTAATAAAGTAATAAGTTAAAGAAAGAAGGAAAATAATATGGAGAGAAGCGAAAAATGAATTCATGGAATGAATTCATAGAACATGAAAACATAGAACATGAAAACATGGAACATGAAAACATGAAACATGAAAACATGAAACATGAAAACATGGAATATGAAAACATGGAACATGAAAATGTGAAACATAAACACATAGAAATAAACATGTGTAAAAATGGAACATATTAAAAATGGAACATACTAGAAATGGAACATACTAGAACACTATAGAATCATTATCATTAAAGTAAAATGCTAAAAAATAAAAAATTAGTTTTATACACGAAAAAGTAATATATGGAAATCATGAAAAAAATTATACTACAAAATAATTTTATATCAAATACAAAAACGCAATCACAATATCAATAAATTAGTGTATTATATATAAAAAGAAGTATATATTTCTTAAACTTTGTGTCCACGATGTTAGACTTTGTCATAGACAGTTAAACAGAAAGAAAATTGATTTATCGCATTGGTCACTTGGTTGAATTATTCAAATTGACCAATTCTCAGATTGTTTAAGATCTCGGACCAATTTTCGTAAAGTATTGTGAATGCAAGGTTTGAAAGAGACGCGCCATGACGTTCCTTACCTTCCTCCTCGTCGTCACTTTCCTCCACTGCCTTCAGCTTCCTCAATTTCTTTTTTTCATTTTGGTCAAGCTCCTCTTCACCCTGCGTTAAATATCGCACAAAACAGCGTAAGATAATAAAGTCGACAAAATAAAGACAATAAACTCGACATCTATGCACCGTTACAAATCGCTCGAGAGCTTCGCATACAGGATAGCGAACGAACGAAATATTACGAAAACCACTTACCTCGCTCACGTCTGCCTCAGAATCGAGATATTCTGCCATACTTCAGAATTATAACGACCCACCTACGTCCAAGATAACGTTCGTGTCGTTTTGATCCGAAGAATTTCACGTTCACTCACGGCAAAGGTTCGATGAATTGCGCGACGAGATCCCTCGCACCTCTCTTCTTCCGTATTCTTTTGCGGAATACCCTGAAAATGAAATGTAGAACCACAAACAGATGGACGACTTTGTCCTCGTATATCCTCGCAAGGTGGCGCCACGTACATCGCCACCTTGCGAGGAGGTCGTACGCTGGTCGATTGGTTAGTAATTATTTGGAGTGCCAATCGACGATTATGGGTGCAGTCCACTTGGGAGTCAATTATAAAACTTTTCCCCTAGAGCGGAAATGTGAAAAGTGAAAAGTTTCACGTGAACTTACGATCATGTACAATTTTGCGGGATCATGTAACTCTCTCACGTGAAAATGTAAAATTTTTTGCCATGTATCTTGGTGACGGAAAGGCGGAAATCTAGGGAATTAATAAATATGCTTCGGAATTAGAGAAAATTAGGGTTGCGTTAGGATTAAGTGTACTTAATACATATATAATTGGTTATTAAAAGATGTATATAATACTGTACCAATAAAATAATTTTCATTAGCTATAAAACCTATGAAACTATGTTTCATGATTTCACTTTCCATCCAAGCTACATACATAATCGCTATACGTTATACGAAAAGTTTCACGTGAAATGTCAAGATGTGAAAAATGAAAAGTAAAAAGTGAAAAATGAAAAGTGAAAAATTTCACGTAAAGTTACATGACCCCCTGGTGCTACAAATATTTCGAGCATTTTTTGGTCAATTTATAGAATTCTTTGTTTTGATTGGTCAAACGCTTCGAAGCTTTTGTAGCGCTAAATAGCGAATCGTACTTATATTTCGTTTTCTCGCAGACATTTATTCCAGAGATTTTCTCTTCTTACATTTTGTTTTTATTCTATGATATATGCGCAGAATGAAGTGCGCGCTTTGTCTTCCGTTCTCTCTCTCACTCTATGATTTATTTGATGCAACAAATGATCGCGTCTAATAGAATGCTTATTTTGCAACTATTGGAAATTAGTTTTTTTTTAATAATGAAACGTACAATAAATGGAATATTATTTTAACAGTGAGAGAGGAAAGTCAAGACAAATCAAAAACATCGTTTTTTTTATAAGGAGATTGAAGAAAAAGAGAGATATACTATGTGGAGTTGTGACTAGATGATTGAAAGTTTATTTTCAGGAAAAAAGATTAATTCGTAAAAGAAAGATTACGAAGTGTTCTTCAGATTTTGCTATAAATGAAATAAATTTCAACGAAGGATTTTATCTTTTATATATACATGTTATATATAATTGTTTTCATACAAAGAAGATAAAAATATCAAGATATGTCTACCTTCGAGTGTCGGTTAGTTTAACGCTAATAATAAAACAAAATGGTTGCGAAAGAAATCTATCACTGTAGCAGAATTTTTTAAGTAAATCTTATATCAGAGGAAAGATGTATAATAATTTAATAATAATAATTTAATTTCTTTATTTAGGGTGAGTTCTGTACGAGAAAAGAATGTTAAATCTTATGGAAAGATGAATATGTTTGACAATTACGAAGAAACATGTTGGAGCTCTGATGTGGTGAGAAATCAAGTATTTTTTATGACTCAATTCTATATATTTACATATATATTCTATATATTTACATATAATTAATAATTTAATATTATAATATATATGACAGGGAACTCCACAATGGGTTGTTATTATCTATGAAAAAGAACATACTCTATCCAGCTTTAAAATAGAATTCCAAGGTGGATTTGTAGGAAAAAATTGTCACGTAGAAGCTGGCAATGACAGAAAAGAATTAACAATTGTTGAATCTTTTTATCCAAAAGACAAAAATGGGTTACAGTACTTTCTCTTAAAAAATCATGTTACAGCCAAGATTTTTAAATTTGTATTTAATGAAAGCACAGATTTCTTTGGCAGGATTATTATATATAATTTCTTGTTGTACAGTAAAGAAAAAGAATGTCCTGATTGATACTTTAAATATAATTTTATACAAGAAAAGTCCATGAAAATATAATTTTTGTAGAAAAATGATATTTTGTTATAAATAATATTTAATTTCTGTTACAATTTGTTCATATTTAATTTTCAAATGATAAAAAATGATTAAAAGCTGTTAACAAGCAATTCATTTTATTCATTATATAAAAATTTTTTTGGATTATATAAAGATAAATTGTGATATACATGATTTATTGTAATAAGAATGATTTGTGTTCTGCTTATTACAACTAGATACAATATTACATATAAATAAATGCTAGATAAAAAATGATTAACATTAAAAATATATTTTGCTATTACTATTAGTGTTTCTCTCATGTTTCACTTTGAATTGGTTGAGCATTGGCTGGCCGAACTGAGAAAAGAAATATATAAATATTTTTAATATTTTTAATACCATTTGCTTATATTTACTGTAGAAATTATAATTATATTTACTGTTTATGTTTTGTTAGTCTTACTTGTGCAAGATAGAGGCTGAAACTTTATATCGTCGACAGCAAAGCCTCCGTTACTAGCACTTCCTTCAAGAATAAGTCGATATGGAGTTCGTGCTTCGATTGTTACTTGAGCCGCCATCCATACTGGTCGCGGATTATTGATTCCTTTGGCTGTTAGTGACCATAACTGCATAAATAAAATAAAATTTTTAATAAAAATAAACTTTATTCTGTTTTATAAAAAAATACTTAATTCATGCATCTGTTAATGAAAATGTAAAGTAAAATGAAAACAAAAAAAATTTTGTTTTATCAGAAAGCTTAATGAATAATATACAATAATACATTTTGGATTATACAATAATACCTTTTAAATATTATACAATAGTACATTTTGAATATTATAAATTATACTTTTAGTTTTACATATGTACCGGTTGCTCCTGTTCGTCTTCGTTCTCTCCCTCGGTTTCCTCGGCAGGCATTTTGATCACTTGCAAAGCAGTGGACTCTTCCACGCCAAAGGCAGCGAACCAAAAGGTGAAGCATACAAATTCTTCGTCAGGCGAAGCATTAATAAGAGGAGATTGCAGTTGAACTTTTGTGGATTCCTTATTGTTCGTGAAGATGTCGAAGAACACAAAATCGCCAGTCGCACCGAAAGTTCTATCCAACAACTGAGCCGGTCGATGAGTTTGAAACGCACGCTGCCACGTTACAGCACGGTCATTATCGGAAACAGTTATATTTTCCCATCCGCATAAGTCCTTCTCGAAGCTACAGTCCTCTGCACGAACAACTGCACTCGGTGGCTTCACTATATATAGATATATAATAAATTTATTGTAGACATAAAGTAAGATAACATATAAGAGAATAATACTAATCATGAAAAAAAAACACTCTTCTTCAAGGAAAAAAAGGGGAAATCACCACTGCAATTCCCAGTATAAAAAGCGATATCATCAATTCCTATGCTGCCACTCGCTCTGTTCGGCCCCCAAGTGCCTTCAAACACGACATTGAAATCCGTATTTTGATTGATATTAGTTTGAGCATAGTTCCACGTAGGACCTTGATCATTGTATAATTGCCATATGGGTTTGCTTTCTGTTGAAGTATCACCATCTGCTTGCACATACAATCGTAACACGCCTATAAAATTAAAAGCATTGCTTTTTCGATAAATTGTATCTTTGCAGTATTTGTTTTGAAAGGAATCTTAAGACGTCTTAAGTTTCTTAAATTATCTATTTTTTGTCTTGTACAGAAAACATTACTGGATCAAACAGACATTTTTAAAGAATGTTACAATTAAATCTTTCATCTTTAAATAAGAAAATAAAACAAATTAAATTACAATAAAATCAGTCTTTGATTTCTATAATATCTATATTTCAATAATTTTATAATTTCTGTAATTCGATCTGCCAAACAATTTTATCAAATTATTTTTTTGAGAAAAATATCTACCTAAGCTGGGTCCTGTGGAATCGATGAAAGGTTCGAACATAAAATACCAAAATGTAATACAGAGAGGTTCTTCGGAACCCTTCATCTGTCGACTAACCAGTTGAGCAGTACCCCCGGATGATCGTGAATTACCGCGAAGACGTGCCAGCCCCAAAAAATATTCGTTACGTCGGTTAATCGTGTGTCCATTACTGTATGGTTTCCTCTGATTTCTCGGGCCCAACACCTGAGTGGACACTCTCTCCCATTCAACGCGGTCTGGATCTCGTGAATTGATCCACTCACATTCATCTATCTCAAAGGTACAATCCCGCAGTATCGGAGCAGCCACTTGAGGCGAAACTTTCGAACCAATATAGATATTAAAAAATCTGAATCATCTAAATTTATTTTTATTGTCGGTGTAATAAAAGCAATCTCTTTTTAAGAGTGTTTAGAATAAAACCTCTCCTCTCCTGCAGTTTCAACTTAGAGAAAGATTTTTTTTAATTCTCAATATAATAAGAAGTTTTACATTTTAGAAAAATTAAAATTTAATAATGTAAATTTCAAACAATGTTCAGAGATTTACCAGGGCAAGCACCTGGTCCATACGAGAGATCATCGATTGCGATGTCTCCCATGCCAGTATTTCCTACTGATGCTTCAAAAAGTAGTTGAAAATCATCAAGGGAGCTGATCGTAACTTGCGACATGAACCAGGCATTGCCAGCGTTTCCGGATAAACCCCAAATTTCCCGCAGTTGACTGTCTGGACTGCGAAAATGACGTAAGAACAGCTTCAAATAGCCGATTCCGGATCCAAACATGTGAAACCAGAAGCGCATACACGTTGGTGCGTCTGGCATAGTTGCCGGAAAACTCGAACTTATGAGTTTTGCCGTGTCGCCGGGTCGTCGTGGAAAGCTGGAATCGATGAAAGCGTAACCACCGGCTGTGACACGATCGCTAGAACTGTCCATCGTTGGACCAGTCGTGGGATTTCCGCTACCGCGACTCTAAAAAGAATGCTTTTTCTCAAAATATTTATTATACATTATTGCGGAATACAGTAAAGTCACAAAACCAGCGTACTTACTATGGTCCAGTCAAAATCATCTTCCGCATCATTGTTCCAATCGCAAAAGCTACTGGCGAAGTTACAGAATCCAACACATGATGTACCAGGTTGCAAATCTATATCATCGATAGCGATGTATCCACGATATAGACGCGATGGATCTGTAGAATCTACTGGCACACCTTCAATAACTAGCTAATTGACAAGAGATATTGACTATTAGATATTTGTAATATGTATAAAATTGCAATTATAAATAAATAAGAAAAATAAGAATATTTTATATAATAAATAAGAATATTTTAGAAGAGAACAAAAAGTTTAACGCATTCTAATATTAATACAAGAGAATAATTGTGACAAGCATACGAATAAATGTAATAATATATTTATAAACAAATTTAAATACTTCTGTAATATTAATTTGCTCGTCGAACAATCGTGCTATGAATGCTAGGTCACTATTTGGACAAACTACAAAACTACAAAAATAGTTGGAGAACATTATAATGTACCGAATGTAATTCAGGATAAGTATAAAGTATTTGGGCCTGTTGCCATACTCCAAGGGTGTAATACTGCGCATGCCATAATACACGCTCTTCCATGATTTCCACCGGTTCGCAAGGCGGAATTACTGTGGTATTTTCTACAGGCAGTTCTTCGGGTTCCTTTTTAAATGAGTACTCATCCGTTCCGACGTGAAGTAATACTCGTAGTCCTGCGATACTGAGACCGTCCATAATGTATTTGAACATAAAACAGGTACCGGCGACTCCAGTACTGCCCAATTGTGGACTATGCAAAAGACCTCCGGAACTCTTATACTTCACATCTTTCAAAGGTATCTGCGATGTCTCCACAAAGGCGTATCTAACGCATTAATTCATGTTCAAAATTATTTAGTGGGATATTAAACGAGGCATATATAAATACAAAATTCACATCTTTGTAAAAACACAAAATATGCAAAAAAATATATAACATATTTGTAGCACAAAAGAAAAAGTCGCATAATTTTTCATTTCTAACACCATAATCTAATGGAATTGTGATAAAAGATCGAAAATTCTAATTCAATATCGGAAAAGATATAATTTTTATTGCACTTCTCAACTGATAAATATCCATCAACTTTTTACCCTCCCTCCATAGTGCCACTTGTGGCGTCAGCCGATGGTCCACCCACCCAGTTGGTGCCCATTCCAGTACCTGCAGTCCAATCCAATGCACCATTACCATTTTGCCATTCGCAAAGCGGCATAGATGGTGATGGCCCGAAGTCGCAGAAGAGTTCGTCAACAGTAACCGTTGGAGGTGGTACAGTAATCGTAGGAAATCTTAAAAACGTAAAATAGCTAATAAATCGACTTCATGACATAATAATTTTATACTATACTATTATAAAATTTTGATTAAATTTACCTTAATAAATTGTCTTAACTTATTTAAAAAAAATATTTAAAAAATTGAGAAAAAATTGAATAAATATTAATTTTATTATGTATGTATTCTTAAGCTTATTCATAAGTATTTGTCGTTTATTACTCAATTGCCAGCGGATATTTTTAATATAAACGTCTCTGCTGTGTCTTGCTTTATAAAGCTGTAAAAAGAAAAAACCTTTGGCTAGAAGGATTTCTTTGCGCTAACGTTGTGGGTTGTGGAGACCTGGGCGGTAAAGACCTTTCCGTGGTGAAAGGTGCGGTGCTGCGAGTTGGTAGGATATCCGGCCTACCTGGCCACTGCCTGGGTTCGATGCGCTCTACTTCGTCCAGCGGTTCGCGGTCGCGATCGACGGAATTGATGGGGGATTGTGCCGAATCAATCATATCGACAGATTCTGGGCCTTCAATCCTGATCCCGTTGTTCGCGGTATTTTTCATCCAAATGGGTGCATAAGTAGAATTAGTAATATCCACGAGATCTATTTGCTCTCCGCGCATAACATTCAAGGTAACCGGAGGGAACCAAGTCATGCTCCACGACGAAGGATACAACCAACAACTCAGTAGCAAGATCCACCACATGTCCGGATATATTTACGCTTCTTGAATCTATTTTGCCTGCAAAGAATGAATGCATTAAACTTAAACTCACCAAGGATTTAGCTTATAAAATTACAAAGCTCTCATTTTCTTGATAAAATAATCCTTTATTATCCAGTAAAATAGCGATTAAAGACTTTCTTCAATTTAAAGATAATTTAAAGATAATTTAATTGATTAATGTTATCGATAGTAAAAAAAGAAATTGAACTATAAAAAAGGGTGTGTCCTAGTTGAAAAATTTGTTGAAGTCTTAAAAGTTTTAAAATTATTAATTATTACATTTTCAATTTTTCTTATTTGTCATTTATTTATATTAAAGTATTTCAACTATAAAACGAATGGGAACAGAAAAAAAAAGTTGAACGTTTTAAAATCATACTTTGATATCATAAATTAAGTTTTAATTCTTAGAATAAATTCTTCTTTTTATTCACTTATCTTGTACATGACTTACAATTCGACGCACGTGTCATGTGTCGTCCACTATTCGATCATTAGGATTCTTGAAATATATTAACGCTGATTTTAACATGGAGTTCGTCTGATGAAATATTCTATTTCCCTAAGATAAAAATGCTTTTATATAAAAGATGATAACGTATTAACATATCAATATCAAATCACTAATAACAAAAACTAAACTACTAAATACGAAAATTTAAATATCTTTTTAAATTACAAATCGTATCTAAAAATAGACTTTACCTATACGGATTTTCACTTTTTTTTGCACTAAACACTTTTCTATTTCTTCAAAATGGTTCTTTCGATTCTCTCGCACTATCCGATATCACGTGTTTGGATGACAATCCGACAAGTCTGATAGAGTATCTATACTAACGAGATGCGAACTGTAGTTTTTCAGAATCGTGACACGAACATAGAACGAAGCGGTACACACAATTCCGGCCTTAGCTTCCGGTTGTTAGGTATTTCGCGCGTTCGGGGGAACCTGATAGTAGTTCATCAAACAATGAAATTCCATCCAGGCAGAATGCCGCAATAAGATTAAAATCTGACCGTTTCCACTGGCGGTAAATCGGTTCCGCGTATCGTTTCGCAAACGACAGGTTTTCAAATATTTAAATACATGATATTCATCATTCGTAATTTAATTTCCTTTTGACGATTAATTATTACAAAACATTAATACAATGAAGAGTTTACCACACATATATTATATATTGTAAAATATGTTATCCTTATTAATTCAATCACCGTTTTACTAATAAAAATAATTATCAAATTAATAAATACTTAACGAGTTAATAAATAAATATTACGCAATGTTATCTAATTCAATAAAATCTTTATCACAGTTCTATATGACTTAAAAATTAGTTTTTAGAGATATGAGTGAAAATGATATGAAAAATTAATATTGACAATAGTATAATAAACTTGATAAAAAAATTAAATAATGCTGTAGAAAAAATTATTTCATATATAAGATAAAAAGTAAAATATTTAAATTATGCAAAATATAAATATAATCTTGTACGAAGATCTAATTCAGAGTTAAATTGATTTGATATGTAATTTTATTTTATAAAGCAAAAATTTCTATGTAATCTATTATTCCCTTTTTTTTAAATGTTCATTAAAATGTCATTCCAAAAATTTTAGTGGATTCAGAAATTTTAAAAAAGTGTGCAGTCCAAAATTTTCATGATCTCGTTCAGCGAGATTAACGTTACGTCCGAGATTTAGGTATACACGAATGATATATGAGACAAGAAAAGGGCAGAATACAAGCTGATCAGTGCTGGGACGATACAGACTCTGTTTCCTCAACATTTTCGATATCAAATTTACAATGGGTGCTGATGTCTGTTGCGGTAAAGGTTGCGGTGGGCTATTGTGTACTAATTTCGTAATTTCCGCTAAACTCTAAAATAGTAATTAGAAGGATGTTTATTTCGTGAAGGTTAATACAAATTTTTTGTTTCTTTAAAAAAAATTATGTCGCTTTCCATAAACACAAAAATTTTCTGTGCGCAACATTACATGCTATTTTATAATTTAATTATATCTCGTGTTAAATTAAATTAATTTAATTTACCATGGCTGGAAATGGAAATCTCTTCGTAACCATTTCATATAATATAACACCCATGCTCCATATATCACACTTAAGTTCATATGGTTGAAGACTAAATACTTCGGGAGCCATATAATAATAAGAACCCGCATGGCAAGTTATCGAATCTCTACGAAATAAAAAGAAATAATAAAATTTGTATGTGACAGAAAGATTATGTTGACCTACAAAAAAATAATTAATCTGAACATATAATTTTTATTCATTTCAATCGTGCTTGTTGATAATTTTAAAACAACAATTCATTATGTTACGATTCAAATATTTGTTAAAATTAAAATTAACTCAATACATACTCTTGGATACTTTTTGAGAGCCCAAAGTCACCAATCTTGACAATATCTCCGCGGCTGCCAGTTAACATAATATTTTCCGGCTTTAAATCTCGGTGAAGAATTTTATATGAATGAATGTGATGTACTCCCAAAGTAATTTGTGAAAACAAATACAGCGCATCCTAATAAAAAATATTTTTTATATTTTTTTATACAATCGATGATTTATTTTTGCGAATTCAACCCGCGTATCAATTTATTTTATTTTATTTCAAAATATATAATTTTCTCTATAATTCCAATATAACGCAAGATTACACTTGTTGAATTTCATAAAATTCGTAAAAAAATATTTTTTTAAGTCCTCAGTATTCAAGCAATTTTATCAAATTTTAAAATATAGACTAGAAAATTACCTCTTCCTTGAGTGGCATCTTTCGTTTTTCTAATAAATCCTTAAGAGTACATCGAGTTGCATATTCCATAAGAATATAGCTATGATTATTTTCTTCCCATGCTCCATAATAAAACACTATGTTCGGATGTCTCAATCTTTTTAGACATCGTATTTCTCCTAATGTCCTCTGAATTATGAAACATTTATCATATTTTATATATTATTTAAAAAGAGTTCAATATTATGCAATTATATACCTCAGAAGGCGAATAATTTGTTGCATCTAAATCTTGTGCTTTTATAACAAAAAGCTTTGAATCTTTCTTTCTTCTCACTAAGTACACAGTTCTAAAAAAATACATTATTGCTGAAGATAAATTGGATCTCATGTACACACATATATATAGTTGCATTTATTTAAAATGATATACCCAAATGTTCCTTTTCCGAGTATGCTTTCAAATGTATAGTCATCTATTATGTGCGTATCCATTTTCGTTTTTGTGAACAGGATTCCGAAGGTTTAAAGCAAAATTGAATTTCATCTAAGACACATGTGGAAATGTTATGACTATGATATGTAGCTTTGTTTATTGAAGAAGTATCCAATGTGTTATGGTATAAGACTATATAAACAGAAATATTTTCGAAAAATATGTATATATGTATCACTTTTCTAATTTAAATAATATTAATTTGCGTTACTTACGTAATACAAAGAATTATCTTTAATATTTATCTTTAAGGAATTTTGAGAAACTCAAATAAGTATTAAGCTGTTCTTAATTTTTCTCCATATTATATTATTAAATTATATCCTGGAAAAATTTGATCGAATATTTGTTGAGAAATATTTATTCCAATTTCGAAAACATTCGAGAAATATAAATATTTTTAATATAATTTGGTATTTAATTAAAATAAAAATTAAATACCGAGAATAGATCCTTTTAGATTTATATTATTTATAACATGACGATTATATCTGGATAAAATTAAATGGTGAATATTAAAATTACAATTAAATGATGCGTTTTTATTTATTTCTTTTTTTACAAATAATATGATGCAGATTTTTCTAAAGCGTTTTTTTCTAAACTAGTAATCAAGAAAAAACGTCACGTCGATTATCAAACAATATATATTTTGCCTAAACAAATTGCAGTGAGATGTGTGTTGTGTGAATGTCATATCTCAAAAAAAGTACAACATAGATATCGTGGCAGCAGGTTATTATAACAAAAATTAATTTCTTTATTACAGTTTCGAAAAAATGATGCACGAGTTATTTTGACCATTTTACTATAATATAAAGATACCCATAACGAAAAAAATATGCAGCTATTTGATAAGTGTTAACAAAGCGTCTAACAATTACAACATACGTACTGAAAGAAAGTCTCATACGTATGTTATATGTTGAGAAAGACGAAGAAAAAAGATGGGAAGGGAAACCAAGTGGTAATTATTGCAACATTTACTCACAGATAAGAAAGCAAATCGCTTTATGCCCTAGCACAATACGAGATTAGATAATATTGCAATATATAAATGTATATATCTTTACTCTCTCTGATATCTTTTGAACTTTGTCGTTTTCGACTGCATTTCAAGAATTGTTAATAGAACTGTTACTAGACTCTATCGTATTGGCATTATCGCTTCCAGTGGACGCAGACACGCGTGACTGCTTCAAACTATCCAAGTACTCTTGCTGTGATGTTGCCAACACTTGTGAAAGTATATGGCTATCTTCCCAATCCGTCAAACCTAGAAAATTAAACATAAATAAAAGTTATTACAAAATTTTTTTCTTAATACGGATCTAATATTTATTCCAAGTGGATAAGAAACGATAAATTTAGATTAATTAAGAGAATGTTGTGTTTTTGAATGTAAATGATTTAAGAATACATTCTTACCGAATACTTCAGGAGGAAGGCGATTGAATAATGAAATATCGGGTGATGCATTTGCTTCCTTGCTACTTCCTGGCACAGGTTCTTGCGGTATCATCTTCACCTCGAAATCCGATGGCAGATGGGATATACTAGATCCTTGGGTTGACTGATGCTGTGGCGATCTTTTGCTATATCGTACCGCGTCACTGACCTAACAATCATAACAAAGGTCTCTTAGGTAAATCTTGATCTTCCATTGCGAGAATAAGGAATAAAACGGACCTTCGGAGAATTGCGTAAATTATCTTGGCTAGTTTGTGTCGTGGTCGGAGAAGAGGTATGGCTACGCTGCTGTCCACGACCTCCATGTGAATGAAAGTGTGAATGATTATGTTGCGCGCTCGTAACTGTGCTCGTACTGCTACTACTGGCTGATCGCTTGATTCAAAAGTCGTGACTGAGTCTTTTCGCTCCAATAGAAAAATAACTGATATGATACTTGAATTTTTACTTACTGCTTTACGCATTTCATTATCACGCAACCATTGCAAATAACTTTCCCTAGCTACTTGTTCCTCGATAGCTTCGTTAGTCGCCTCCCAATCGGTAGCTTTTATTTTATCTTCCAGCATTGTCTTTCATAAAATTGAAATATTAAAATATTTTTGGAATATTTATAAAATTAAATAATTCGTGTAAAATCAAATAAATCGTCTTTATAACAATTACCTGTTCGATATGCAATTCCTCACTTTGACGAACTGCATCCGAAATCAGGGCACGATCAGCAGCGCCAGGATTGTACGATGGCAAACCAAGTCCAACGCCTATAGTAGCTTTAAATGGATCAACTATACTGTTATAATGACTGCCACGCTGGTACGACAGCCTAATTGGTTCATTGTCACTTTCTACCATTGTATGGAAAATATTGATAGGTTCTATTGAAAGAGAAAGAAAAACAATAACATATACATGAAAATAACAAATATATGAAAAAATCCTATAACATATATAAAAGATATATATACCGGTGCTATAACAATATAATTGGATACTACGATTGTACATTTCTGACATAGCCTGCATTTCTATGTGGTTCCCATGAACATATTCTTGTCTCTTCCTGTCTACATAGGTGCTAAAATCTTCCGCTACAAAATGCGAGAAAAACTCTTGGTTGGAAGCCTAAAAAAAAGATAAATTTTTATGACGTTGCATTAAAATAATGCAATGTTATCTTATTTCTGTATTTAAAACACTTACAATATAATCCATACAGTGCTTTCGTACGATTCCATGCATTTCCTGATCTCCATAAACCTGATCTGCTACCGCTCTAAATAAACAAGCTCCATCCTCCGCCATCTTTTTTAGCATGAGACCCTTTTTCTTCAGACGCTTCTCAAACCATCTGTCTCTCTAGATTAATACAAATATAAAACATAATTTTCATGTTGATGTAAGATAACGAAATGTATATAAATAAAATATAGAGTCCAACGATACTTACTTCCTGCCACTCAGCCAATGTAAGATTATTTTCAGTACGTCCAGTATATTCATCTCCACTATTATAACCATTTGCCAATTCATGTTCCAAATTCGAGGCGTTTCCAACAATACTTACTCTTCCACTTACACTAGTATCTGTGCCTAAATAAATAAAATTCATTATCTTATACTCTGCATTTATAAATATTCATAAATATTAATAGTTTCATTTTAATAGATAATGATCAATAATACAAGATTAAGATACAAGAAATCATTTGTTACCTTGTGAACCATTGCAAGAAGCAGCAGGTGGAGTAGCCTGCCTTTCACGTTCTCTCTCTCTCTCTCTTTCTCGGCCTCTGTCCCTCTCCCGTTCACGTTTTGCACGTGAAGGTCTACCAATACAGCTATTAAAAAATTAGTAGATTGCTTATTAAATATAATCATAAATCTTTACTATAAAAGTATACAATTCCTTTAGTATTTCCTATTTTATATATAAATTATTATAACAACATAAGTATATTTTGTAACATCCACTTTTAATTATGACCCATTCAAGTTTTTCACCAGCTCAAATACCTGTGGGGACTAACTCTCTGTCTATGACGTTTACCATGACTTGGACCACTCCCATCCTCAAAATGTTTGTCTTCACGACGATCGACATTTGTCTGTAATAAAAAAATATCATACATTAAAAAAAAATATAATTTAAATTCTTCAATTAGGTATTCTATCATACATAGAACTGGCAATTATTGATGGTGTACAGCATATACATGCATCATAATACAAATATAACTCTTTTACCCAAATAAATATTATCATTCATGTCTATCATTAATTTCTTTTTCACTGGTGCCGCTAATCATTGCTCATCAGTGTTAATTCGATGACCAAAGTTTAATGTTTTCTTATCAATGCATCACAAAGAAATAATCTATACAATACCGGCTCTATCCGAAGCAAAGGAAGATACAGGTTCTCTGAGTGTTATACCTCATATGAGTTGCCGCTCAATACAAGAGAACCACTGTGGGATCCATGATCGCTTTGGACACCGTGCAGATCGACGGCGAAGCCGCTGGCGCTCCGTACCTAGTCAGCGAGTTGGCAAAACTTCTGTTTTAGAACCGGTCCCTTTAAGCAGAGAGACAGAGCAAAGTCCGGAAATCACGCGTTCCATCTCACCTGATAAGGGCTGTTCGGGTGCGCGATGCTGCTGGAACTGTGCTCGTTCTGCACTACGCCGTGATGAACATCGACCTCGGGACCAGCGCCGCCCTCGCGCGTCCTGTCTTTCGGCGCATTCGTCTTCTTCTTTGATAAAATCGTCATGATTTCGCACGATCAATTCCTGTCTTTATCTCTATTTCTCTCGCGCTCTCTGTCTCTCTCGCCCTTTCTATCCTGTTTTCGTAGGACGCGTGTCGGACAAATCGGTTCGCAAAATCGTCTCGCGACCACACGCGGCGTCACCGTGAAGCGATCCGACCACCCTCGCGATCGTCAGCGGGATCACCAGCGGGAGTGAATGCCTATTAATTTTTCTTTTTTTCCACGAATATAAACTGATGATGATCGTAGCTCCGCGCACCTTCCACGCTCTCTCTGGTCTCTCGTTCGCGTTAACGTCGTTGCGTCACACGTACAACGAGAAACTTCGGTCAGGATGACGTCGTTCCGTGGCCGTCGTCGCGCAACATGTCCGAGCGAAAGCGACACGATGTCGTTGATCGCTGCTATGCCTGGAATGTTTTGTCAGACGGCCATATTTGCCCGTCGCCTCGCCTTCGGTGAATGCGCGACAGCGGTGCAGGAATGCATCCAGGGGAAACCTGCGATGTGAATAGGTACATACGTCTAATATCCAGTAGCGCAATTGCTCAGTGAGTGCTCGGTAATCGCTAACTATGCTCTCTAGATTTGTCATTGGATGCAAGCATTTCTTTAAAGTCTATATCCACGATGCTGGAAATCAACTCGAGATCTCGAACAGAAAGATAATTAACTAATCGTTCATCTTTTTCCTTTTCTTTCCTTCGACATAGAGAGAAATAAAGAGGAAAGATGAAAGAAATTCAGCTAAAAAGAACAGACCATTCATGTCACTTGGAAAATACACTGTCTAGTGTATTTTCTGAAGTCTCCCCAAGTCTCCCTAATCAGTAACCTGTGTGACTAAAATATTTCTTATCGATATAGCTTCTCCCATCAGATCATATACTGGATATATAATCTTATCTATAGTTTCTAATTACGTCATCCAATATAGTTTGATCCAATATTATTTGACATATAAAAAGTACAAAATAAAGTTATATTTTTTTAAATAATAAACACGTGAAAATATTTGAATTTTGCGCTAATTTTGGAACAACAATTTCATTGGTTCTTTTATCAATCTGTCGCTATTGCATGGTGCGTATATTTATATATTCTCATGTATTATATATATTGGAGCAACTACTTTACTATTCCTTGACTCTACTGTCGAATGTCAAATGCTTTGACATATAACATTTATATTAATTATATATCTTAAATTAAAAATACGAAAAACATACATAGATAAACAGAAGTAAGCAAAAATGCTTCGCGGATACGAGGGTGTAAGATATATCTCGGATAAGCAAATGGTAGTGTTTGATATCGGTAGTGCGTATACAAAGTGAGTATTAATGAGAAAATGAGAAATTTATGAATTTTTATTATTTTCAATTTGAAATAATATATTTATACGTTTAATATATTTCTTATAGGTTTGGTTACGCAGGAGAAGCATCTCCACGTGGTATTATTCGAACGGAAGTGAGATGTCCAGAGTCAAAAAAGATACGTAAAATCATTGATCATAAAGATGTCGAAGACCTATACCAATTTCTTGTAGAATTTCTTCATTTATTGTTTTTTAAGTAAGATTTTAAACTTTTAATAACATTTTCTAATGTGCCTTGGAATTTTTATTAAAAGCATCTCTTGTGATATAGATATGTTGTAGTAAGTCCAAAAGATGCAAGAATATTGGTTTTGGAATCTCCATTGGCAATAACATCGTTCAGAGATACTCTCGCAAAAGTAATGTTCAGGCATTTCGAAATTGGTTCTATACTGTTTCTGCCGAGTCATTTAGCAACAATCAGCACTCTCAGTATTGATACAGCATTGGTATTGGATGTTGGATATCAGGAAGCAACTCTAATTCCAATCTTTGAAGGAATACCAATACTTAAAGCTTGGCAGGCATTACCTCTAGCTGGACAAATTATACATGAGTAAGTTACATTTCTTTTTTTGATATTAACTTTTAATGAGTAATTCTGTTTTCATGATTTGTAGAAATTTGAGAAAATATTTTCAAGATACAGCAGACAATTTAGATTTACCAGAAAAGACTTTGGAGGACATTAAAGTAAGAACATGTTTTGTAACTACATTAGAAAGATCTACAAAGCTAGGAATGGAAGATGCTCCGATTCCACCTCCTGACGTCACGTATCCTGGTGTTAGAAGAATTTTGATACCTGGAGAGATTAGAGAAAAAGCGTTCGAAATATTATGGGAAAGAGATAATGACAATCTTTCTTTGCCTACTATGATACTCGATGCTATCATTAAGGTAAAGCCAATTTTTATGACATACAATATATAATATTATATAATAGTAAATTGTTATATACAAACGATCTGCATTTCTAATTTTACATTATCTAATTTTTAAATCAGTGCCCATTGGATACAAGACGAGTGTTGGCAGAAAATATAATACTTATCGGAGGAACAACCATGACAAAAGGCTTCGCGAGTCGTTTAAAGTCGGAATTATTAGCTTTAACTGAAAGCGATTTATATAAAACTAAACTAAAGATACAATCATTCAAATTCCATACAGCGCCTAGTAAACCGAATTATACCGCATGGTTAGGGGGTGCTATTTTTGGTACGACAGATTTACCATTACGCTGTTTGACAAAAGAAGTATATTTGAAAACGAATCGAGTTCCCGACTGGTCTAATCTCATAGATAATCAAAAGGATGAAACATCTTATGAAATATGAATAAGTAAATAAGTTTGTCATATTATTTAATAATTTTAAAACTTTAAAATTGTAAAAAAGCAAGTAATGATTATCTTTAATATTAAAAGAATTTATTTATAAATTGCATATTGTACATATAATTGTATTATTCAATGTACGCTTTTTATATTTCATTAAATTATAATTGCAATTTTGCAAAATACTGTTCCGTTGCTTCCAATTGGTCGATAGTATTTAGAAGGATCAAAATATATTAGACATAATTGTTGTCAATTTTCTTCTGCATTATATATTACAATGTGAAGAATCAAATGTTTTTAATCAGAGAGTTGTAAGAAGAGTAAGTTTTTCATTAAGCTGCAATTGCGTTTTTATCAACTGAGACAATGCAACAACCATCAGAAGATCCTTAACATTGCTGTTAAACATTTCGTCAAACTGATCACTAGTCATTTTTGGCACGGAATGTACCATATCCAAAAGGGCTCTGCCTACCTGAAATAACAGAAAAATTACATGTATTAACTAAATGACAATCATTTTATAGGTAAAAACAATTTTTCTCGTTTATTTACACTTACTTGATTATCTGGCAACTGTTTTCCTGCTAAAACATCATCAACATATGCCAAAACTTGTTCCAACATTAAAGAGAGCTTGGAGCAAGCCTCTGCAACTTGCGCGAGATCCATCATAGGTTCTATCCCTCCAGTAGATTTTATTCCAGATGCTTGTATATGAGATGGTAATTGAGTTTTAGAACATAATTGCAATCCTACTACTTCTGGCTCATAACATGTAATCTATGGAAAGGTTTAAAGACAGTTTTTAGATAAAAATAGTTAAATGACTTTATATTCTACATTATAAATAAAAATTATCTCCAAAAAGATAGAAAAAAGGCATTCATATTACGCTAATGTTTTAAGAAAATTACTTTAAAAAAATAATACTACAAAATACTGTTTTAATTAAAATTTATTCCTATTACATATGTGTGTCTGTTTGGATTAATACTTCAACAAACCTGAACTTTGACAGGAGTGAACATGGAGCCCTGCTTGCCATTAGGTACGCCCAATGGAACACAAACATAAGCCTTGATTGCCATTCTCGTTGTATTTGTCAATGTAGTATCAACAGTCAAATGCACTGGATTATTACATTCTCGAACATAATATTCATGAATAACAGATGAATGTGTAGTAACCTGTAACACATTATTTAGTTGAGTACTTAAGGAAAAAAAAAAACACATAAAAGACTAAAATTAAGAGAACAACCTCATTGCCAGTAGCCCACCAACCAACGATATTTTCTTGTGCGTTAACTCGATGGTTCAAGTCATATAAATCCATTCCATAGGTGAGATCAGCTTCTACCTGGCTCTCGGATTCCTTATGAGGTACGCAGAAACAGTTGGTTACTTCGACGATCCCCTTTTCCGCGGTACCTGAAATGACGAAGAACACGTGTTGACGACAGTCGCGAGACCATGACTTTTCGGATTCAAAGTCGAAATGAAGGAATCCGTCGTCCTGCTGCTCGATACGTTACCCAACAGAGTGCCGATAACGCGTAACGATTCCGCTTTTCGTCGCTCATAGGCATCCACGATTTGGAATAAAACCACCGGGTGCACCTTGACGGTAAGGTTAAGCGCCATGTTTACGCTACAGAAAGATAAGAGAGCACACGTTCCGCTTTGAGGAGTAACTGGCGTGACGTGGTGTCCTTTTCATTCTCAGCAATCGATACTTGGGCAGAACTGCCAACCAAAAAAACCAAACAGAGCGGATCCGGAAAAAATGTTAAATGTGGATTGAACTTTAGAATCTATCATTTTTTTAAATTTTTTATTTATATTTTTATTTATTTATTTATAAATTTATCACTTTAATAACGTTTTACATAGTATGATCTAAATCATTATGCATTTAATTTAAATTTCCATATTTTATTAACAAACAATTTTAAAAAGCAAAATAGAAAGCGATTTAATTAAATTCCGATTAATTTCTACTAATCATATCAATTTCTACTAATAGATTAACTTTAATCTTAATTTATTCTTTATCTGTTTTTAATTCTTAAAACAAGAAATATAAAAAGTAGGTAAACAAAGATTAAAATTAATTTACATTAGTGGAAATGGATTAAAATCAGTAATTAATTGAAATGGCAAAGTCACAAAATTGTAATATGTTCAATTAATTAATTATTAAAATTAATTATTGCATATATTATTCTTATTAACTATTAAAAAAATTATATTAATAAAATTGTATACATTTCGTTTGATAAGTTAATTGTTAATTAAATTAGTTGGAGTTTAATCAAAATTGCTGATGGTACATATTTTTAATTTGATATATATTTTTAATTTAAATATGTGATATATAGGAAAATATGAAAATTGAATAAAGTTATTGAAAGCGTTCAGAAAGTCAATATATTCGCTTGAATTATGCAACAGATGGAATAACAAATGGCACTAGTTTACATTTCTAATACGAACGAATCACATTCGAATTCTACACTTGCTTGATAAGCAAGAGATAACCGTAAGGAAAGTATGACAATGTAATAATATAAATTGAAAAGAAAGAAGAGATTAAAAAAAATAATAAGATTAAGAAGAGATTAAAAAAAAATTCTCTTTGAAAAAAGCTTATGACTTCTTCGTAGCGACAAGAAAAAACTTGGAGAAAGTCTGCATCTAGAATATGATTCCACGATGAATACCTCGTGCTTAATCAGCACATATGAGTGTACGATTGTAAATTATTGTGATCTGATTAACCACAACAAATTAATTGGAACTCGAGCTCACCGTTGGACGGCTTCCCGCAAAGTTGATTATTTTAGTCCCAAGTACGAGTAGTCACGATTTCATTCTAATGAAATCTTGTACGATACCATTTAGGTTAACCCGGATCGAAGGCTGACTTATAGGATTATATCCTGTTTGATTATTCAGTAAATTTGCATGTCGCGAATAATCGGATCGTATATAGCATGACCATTCTTTGGAAGATACTGACTAATCCTGGCATCCTACGAAAATCAGGATGCTGCGGGGTTCACGTGTCGCAGAAATACTTGTTCAGTTCGTGCCTGACAAGGCAGCCCATTAAATTGTCAAGGAAAAGCCAGTTGTTCATCGGGCTGAGACACCACACGATTGATACCGTTCGCTCTGATGCTTCTACATCCATCGTACGCACAGTCAAGGTGAAGAAACGTTCAGAATTAAAAACTTTAATTTTGCTGGCTGCCCCTGAAAAATGGACTCTGATGAAGGCTATCGCACTCCTGCTCGTATCATCTAGCGTAACGATGGCTGTTCCGTTCTGCTTTGGCAAAGTGATAGATGTGATCAATACTGTGGAAGCAACAAAGATGAAGGAAAACCTTAATCAGTTGACGCTTGCTCTGTTTGTTGTATTTCTTATAGGCGGCGTGAGCAATTTTGGCAGAGTTTACCTCATGTCAATGGCAGGACATAGAATTACACAGTCTCTTAGGAAAAAAGCATATGCTGCTATCCTTCAACAGGAAACAGCAATGTTTGACAGAGAAAGTACAGGAGAATTAGTTGGGAGATTGAGCGGTATATTTTAGATCTTTTGTTGAATGTAACATTATTAAGGTATCAAAGTCTATAATTTTTTAATTCTTTTTTTCAGGAGATACACAGCTTATCAGTTCTGCTGTTACATCCAATGTATCGGATGGTTTACGCTCTGCTATAATGGCTATTACAGGAGTGTCTATGATGTTTTATGTATCACCATCGCTAGCTTTACTCGGCCTGGCTATAGTACCACCTGTTGCAGTTATCGCCGTTATTTGGGGCCGTGTCTTGAAAAGAGTCTCTAAAGATTTGCAGAGCAGTTTTGCAGTGCTTAATACAATCGCGGAAGAAAGAATTAGCAATATAAGAACCGTTAAAGCATTTGCGCAAGAAAAACGTGAGATCAACAGATACAGCGCTAAACTACAAGATGTTCTCAAACTATGTTACAAGGAGAGTTTATATAGAGGAATGTTTTTCGGAATGACTGGTCTCTCTGGAAACGCGATTGCTCTTTCAGTTCTTTATAATGGAGTATTTATGGTATCAAACTCTGATATAACAATTGGAAGTTTAAGCGCCTTCCTGTTATATGCCGGCTATGTAGGAGTATCTTTGAACGGATTATCTAAGGCATATAGCGAATTAAATAAGGGTCTAGGTGCAAACATTCGTTTATTCGAGCTGATTAATCGACAGCCACTTATTCCCATTCAAGGTGGGCAAATTTTAAAAGAGGGATTATCAGGCAACGTAACGTTCCAAAATGTTTTCTTCGTGTATCCAACGCGAGAAAAGATTTCTGTGCTGAAAGGTTTTAATTTAGACATAGAGAAGTGTTCCATGACTGCTATCGTCGGTTCTTCGGGTTCTGGTAAATCTACCGTAGCATCACTCTTATTAAGGTTGTACGATCCTACTAAAGGATCGATTCTTTTTGACAATTGTGATCTTCGTTTACTTGATCCTATGTGGGTCAAGTCTCAGATTAGTATTGTATCCCAAGAGCCAATTCTCTTTAGCGGTTCGATAAGAGACAATATATTATATGGAATGGAATCTGCAACCGATTTCGAAGTAGAAAAGGCTGCGAGACAGGCTCATGTGTTACAGTTTACAGAAAAAATGACGAACGGATTAGATACAATAGTTGGAGAAAGGGGTATTGCCCTTAGCGGCGGACAACGTCAAAGAGTTGCCATTGCTAGGGCACTAATAAAGGTAAATTGTTATTCAAATACGTTCGTAATTATCGAAATAATAATTTTTATCCTAATATAAAATATTTTCTTTCATTTTTTCAGAAACCAAAAATTTTAATATTAGATGAAGCGACCAGTGCCTTAGATGCAGAAAGCGAATATTTTGTTCAAGAGGCTTTAGAACGTGCTATCCGTGGAAGGACAGTGATAACGATTGCTCACAGACTTAGTACAATAAAAAATGCTGATAAAATCGTAGTACTCGATGGAGGACAAGTGGCGGAAACTGGCACTTATACCGAGCTAATGAATTTGGAGCATGGTCATTTCAAAAAATTAGTAAAACATCAAACGTTCGCATAGATGTATAGAAATCGCTGAACAATAATTATTCAGTGATTCGTTACAATGTTCTTATGGTTTATCAATGTATTATATGTACATATATATTACATATGTATATTTATTATCTTTGAAATATTTAAAATTAAAGTTCCATACAATATTGGCACATTTCTTGGTGGGAATATGTTGATATCTAATTGGAGTAAAAAATAGAAGAGTATATGATATACCTAGTGCTGTATGTTTATTGCTGAATGTTATAGAAAGATATGTAACAGATTATTCGCGAAAATAGTTACGTATAGATAACAAGATATAATCATTACATGTGGCGACAATACAACATTTTCTGGTCACTTATTTATTTTCTATTTCTTTTCAAATATTTTTAATATTTTCTTGTTTTAATAAGGTCAGGTACATACACACTACGAATAAAAGATTGACAATCTTTCATTTTTATATATTTTTTTATAAAATAATGTACAGCTATTTTTTTTTTTTTTAGATATCCACATTCGTATATTATGTGTAATCTATATTAATTCTTAAATTAATATCCCATTCCTACGATATTCTAATAACGTTTTAGTAGAACCATATCGAATCCGCCTGAAAACATTTTGTGCAAATACATATAACAGTAAGCGGTTCGACATTGCGGGTCTTAATTTGTGGATCGATTTTAATAAGATCAATTTTATCAATTTGTAATATGGGCCGTTTTAAGATTTCCGTTTAAATTTATGATGTGTAATTATATAAATCCATCTTCAATCATATTCTTTGTCGAAAACATAGGAAACGGAAGGAACCAGAATGCTATATGTGTGATCACAAAGAACTGGTCATAAGTTCACAGAATATAGCTTGTTCTACTAGAGAGTCTTTTTCTCTTTTATTTCGTATGTAACAAACATTTGTAAAAGAAAAAAAGAAAGAAAATACTTTACCTACCAATACTTGCCTACCAATATAACAGAAATTATACAAGACAAGCTTTAAATTAATTATACTAATTATGATATATTCAAAATTTCGATTTCGGATCAGTTTTTTTCAGTTTTAATCGATAATTAGAAACAATATTGTCTTGATACCTTCAAACGCTGTCATACTGTAAAAAGTTACGTAAGGTACATATTGTGACCGGTCTCGAACACATTCGAGGAATGAACTGGTTCCTTTGTCATCATATATTTCGAGATTCAATCAAAACTTAGTATAAGGCTGTGATTATGAATGAAATAGTCTCATTTATATTGATTGTGAGATGCATAAACCTGCACTGTACTTATATATAGTTATTTAAAAATTTATTCATTAGGTATACTTGTCCAATACGCAATGTACACAATAGTTATAGGCACAACCTTATTCTAAGCAGACATCTGGTATTTATATAAATCCGTATTGAAATGTTTACCAAATCTGATTTCTATACAAGCGGTGTTTCACAGTATTACAATCTTTATAGGAGTAGGCAGTGTTCTTTTTTTCTCCAAGAATTATAGAAAATTCATTTCTCTTTATAAGTAAATATCAGAGCTTTCATATTCAGTCTAACGATAAATCCAAAATAAATAAAGCAGCAATTAATATTTAAGTTACAATGTCAAGAATTTCGCTGAGTGCTACCTAACATTCGCTCGCAATTTCAATCTTCTGATCCGTAATTACTGATTATGGAAATTATATGTATATCGCGTCACAAGCATCTCACAAGCATGTCACAAGCATCTTGTTTATACGCAAAGATATTTACGTGGTTCATATTATGACATCTATCTTTAAAAATAGATATCAAACGTTAAACAAAAGGAAGGAGAACCATGCAACTGATCAGATAAGTTAAGATTAACTTTTCGACAACTCCTCCATCGTTTCCTGCTCCATAGGTTCATCTTGTTGGAACGTCGATTCCTCGTCGTCGACTTCCATTAACTCCATCGACTCCCTTCTACACGATATACTCTCTATTACAGAAGATTGGTTCCCTTTTATGCATGTCGTTACTTTATTGCCTTGTGAATTAACTAAACTGTCATCTTGAACATCTGTTAATTTATCGTCCTTTGGGGATCGACAACTGACATCATCAGAACTCTCTGTCATTTCCACGGTAGGTGAAACAGCCTCGAGTTTTTCAATTACAGACGCTTCTTTCGGTTTTTCTATGATATTTGTCGGGTCTGATGCCATAGACTCAACAAGAGCCATTTTATCGTTAGAAATTTCCATAATGTTTAAGTTATCGGTATTGAACTCGGGTCCCTGCACGTCTTCCTCATTAATGTTGCTATCGGAAGATACTATACTAGGAATAACTTCTACTGTGTCCGCCGCTTCCATATTCTCAGTTTTTTGGTTCATGGGTTGATCTCGTGGATTGAAACATTCCGTGGAAGATACTGTTGCAGACGCCTCTTTCGAGTGTATCTCGGGTTTTTCTGTCTTGTATAATGTCTCGCTACTGGATACGATAACCGCGCTCACGCATTCGTCGGAAACTGTGTTGTCTTTTTCTACGGACTGTGATTCAGTAAATACCATCGCATTTGCCATGTTCTCACCATTCGTGAAACGCACACTTTCTTCATTTATATCCTCGAGAATCGACGTTCCTTCTTCTTCCGATTTATCGGGAGTGTTCTCCTCGGTGACACCACCAGTATCATCCGCCAAAGCATCAGATCTCATCTCGACGTCCGTCTGTAACAAATTATCAGTTAATCTATTTTCATTACGAGACATCTCGTTCGGATCCGCATGCTCGAGACTCGATTTCGTCAAAGTTGTCTTTTCGCTCTTCGTAGGTTGTTCGAGCTCCTCCTCCACGCCGCTCAACGTCGACGGATCTGTCGCCTTTTCGTCGGGCTTGTCCATGCTCTTGTTGTCGTCAGATTCGAAGCGTTTCGCTTGAAACGCAGCTTGCAACTTCCGCGTAGTATCCGTTGTCAGAGGTATCACTGTTGCTACTACGGTTACCGTCGTTGTCGCCGCCGTTGACGTTGACGTTAATGTTGACGTTGATGTCGATGTTGATGTTGATGTTGACGTTGACGTCGATGTTGCCATTGTTGTTACCGTTGTCATTGTAGCTATTGCTGCTACAACTGCTGTTGTCGTCGTCGTCGATGCCGTGGTCGTTGTCGTGGTACTTGTGGTCATTACTTCAGTTTCCTCATTTTCCATGTCTAGACTGGGTTGGGAATTGGTGTCCTCATTCATGATCGCCACTGCTATATCGGTACCAGGAACAGTCGAGTCATCAGAAACTGCTCCGACAGCTGGTAGGCTTTGTACCACTGAGACGGCAGTTGCCACAGTCTCTGGCACTGGTTCATGTGAATGCAGATTCAAATTCGATATGGTAGAAAAATCTGAGTCCGCAGTGATATAATTAGATGCAATTTCTGTTCTGGAACCAGTCTGTTCCAGCTTCTCTCGCGAGGTCTCGTCCACAGTAAACAGATTCTTAGCCAGTGGTGACTCCGTGGTTGGTATAACACCACCATGAAGAAGTGATGGTTCATTCTCGACGGTATGCACGCTAATGGTAACAGTAGAGCCGCAGTCTTTCTCCCAGTATTCCATCTCAACATCCTGCGAAGTTGGCTGTGCCGACTGTGCCGCTGGCTGAGTCGTCTGAGATGGCTGCGAAGAAGATTGCAAAGGTGGCGATGGTGACGGTGGTGGTGGTTGCTGCTGCTGTTGCTGCTGCGTAACTGAGGCTGTATCCTCTTCAACAGATCCGTTCACCATACCGTCACCCGTTTCACCACGTCTACCTATGGGACCTGGCTCACGCGTCGACACTACCAGGATGTTCTTCTCAATAGCGCGCATGAACTTATCCACGCGATTGTACTCTTTGCGCGGTGCCGTCAACAGTTCGCATATCCGTTGGACAGTAAACGGTGCATTCGCGAATGATTCGAGCCTCTCGAGTAGATTGCTCTTCATGGTGTCATAATTGAAATGTTCCACATTGGGACAGGGCGCGAGTTCCAGAGTGGGGCAGCTTTCATAAAAGTCCGTCATCACCCGGGTGAGCTTCTCTCTGACAAGGGTCTTGATTAGCGGCCACTGATACACGGGATCGCCGGTCTTGGCGACCCAGCATAGATAATCCTCGAGCTCCTGCGGGATCACCGACGGTCGCATTTTCTGGAACTCGTCGAGAGCCTGCAACACCTCCTCCAGATTTTCCATCTTCCCCGCCGCCGCCGACAACCACCACCAACGAGTCTCCTGCGTTTTCTCTCAATTATCTCGATTGTTAGTCGACAAAACGCACCGCGTAAAATTCGAGAAATTTTAGGAAGGATGCTTGACGTGAAGGAAACAACCAAGAACCAAAAATGTAAACTAGCAAACACACCGGCCACAAAACAGCAACAATGGAAACTGCGGCAGAAGGGAGAATGGCAGAACTACCAACTGATGCGCGTTGAGAATCGTCAAGCGACACACAATTGGGCGCTATTCTTCCTAATAATTCAACAATTTATATTATCCTGATGTTGTCAAGCGCAAAACTGTATCCTTTTTCTTAAGAAAAAAAATCTGAAAAAGAAGATGAAAAAATAGCCCGTTATTTCTAGAAAATAACAATCTGGATTAAAATTTATTCACATGTTATGTACCCGCACAAAGTTTGTCCAAGAATATAAAAATAATACAAAAATAAAAATCTCCATGTAATTGTTTTTTTATGTGTATTTTTAATTGAATTTATTGTTCTGGAAAAATATTTTAATTTCTTCATTTGCTTCTAAACATGAGAAAAATTGATTATAAGTTAATGTCCATTATAAAGCTTTTGTACCTCAAAATAGCCAAGATGCAGATTGCTACACGATAATAACTTATTCAATAATTTACAAAAGATACATGCAAGATATTGATAAATATTGATAAATAATTGATAAATATTTTGATATAATCTTTGCACAAAATTATATGTAACGGTCTTTACAGTTCGATGTTCGATAACGAAAGAACGAGCACTCAAACGTCGTGACTCCAAATATGTGCGTTCCTAAAAACACTCAATTGTGTATTAAACGATTTTGCCTAATTTCTAGAAACTTAAAGCATCATTATTTTAAATTCAACAAATATTACTATGTGGGAGGCAATCACATGTTCAAAAGAAAAGTTATCCTACAAAAAATGAAATATTAACCTAAGATCTTGTCCACAATATTAGAAATCGATCCGAGATCTCGGATGGAAAAAGAATTGACCAATCACATTGATTAATTAGCCAAATTCACACGTAATTATAAAACTAATTTTTTAGCATCAAGGATTGGCACAAAGCTTTAGGACCAACTCCGATTAATTGAATCGGTTGATATTTCATTGGAATTGACCAATCACAATTTGTCTACAAATTTAACAACAAATACAATTGATTACTATTTCAATGGAATAATCGATTTGTTAAATTAACCGGAGTTGATAAAAATCTTAATTCGACATGAAAACATTGAACATTTGATTGCGCAATCACCGTAGCCAAAAACGTCAACATTAATTTTCATTGATTTAGCTAATTAAAACTGCAATAAAGATAAAAAAATAAAGTTTTAAAAAAATGTTTCAAAAATTCGAAGAAATTATATATCAAAAAACTAATCTACAAAACCTCAAAACCTCAACCTGAAAAAAATACTGGATATACAAAAACAATATACATATTATTTTTAATAATGGCACATGAATGCAATTAAAAATAATGAAAATAAATCTATCAGAACATCTGTATTTTACAAATGCAGCAAAAATTAAATATATCATACAATAGATTAATCTTAATATATTTCACAATTTTAAACTTTAATTAGACATATGATAAGATCATGTAACATGTAAGTATACATAGAAACAATTAACAATGATAAAATAAACTTATTTGTATTATAAATATCTTAATATATTTGATAATGATAAATTATTTTGCGGAGACTAATTTTATATATATAAAATAAATAAATATCTAAATAAATAAATAAATCGTACATTCGAAAATTACAAATATTCAATGTTAATATAGTTTGTACACGCAAATCTTATATACTCAAGGACTAATCAAGTAGACTTCTTGCTTAATAATTAATATTTTGTATAACTCCGTAAAATCTGCCTCACTGTATCTTCCGAATGCACAATTAGTAATTGTTTATTATAAACGTAATACATCTTAATAATTGGCTTATCTAAATATTTATAATTTTTCTAAAATATTAATATATTAATATCTTCAGATATTAATATACTAAAATATTAAATTAAAAAGTACCTTTAATTAAAAAGTACTTTTAAGAACACTCGCCGAGGCTATTGAATGAAACCTTTAAGAAAAGGACATCCATGCGATTACAACAATATTAAAATGTCGTTGAGAATAATATTAACAATTATTATTTGTAAACAATGATGGAAAATATAAGTTTCATGATATAAATGATCGTACTAATAATGTAAAATTTGATTTTACTTTCGTGCTTTTCCACTGAGAATTAGTAAAAAGGAACAAAGTGCATCTATGTCCGAAATTTTTTTGACAGGCGCTTGAGAAGACTAACATTCCCGCAAGTTTTCAAAGAAAATCTTGGAAACCATGTAGCATTAAGAGATGTCAGTTAAAGATTACTAATCACTTCACAGATCGCGTTGCGATTATCTTTACTTTTTTAACGGAACATATAGAACAAGATAATTTGATTCGATCCATACTTTTAACCTTTACGACATCAAAATGATTTATATCACGTTAATCTAACATTTGTATGCCATGCTGTATTAGTTTGGTACCATGAGAATTTTCCATTTTGGATAGACTTGTAATGATCAAAGGCTTAAGAACAATAATCGTATAAGTTCACTCTAAACAGATCTCTGTTAGAACTATCCCATAAATCTTGTTGTTAATAGATTATTAATTTATAGATTTCAATTAACATACCACGTTTTGTAAATTAAGTTTTTTTTTTCACAAACTTTGGTCACTTAAACGTCAACTACCATTTTCTTATGAATATCTGTATTGCCAACAACCTGAAAAAAATTATAAATATTTTATATATATATATATATATATATATATATATAAAATACACACATCATACACATATATAATGCATCATATTTTTCTGATTCACATAATGTAATATTTTTTCTTAGATATAGAATATACATTGACAAAATTGACAAAATTTGGCCATTAAAATCTGAGATACTCCATATAATGTAAGAGAGACATAAAAATATTACTCACAGAACAAAATTCTTCAAAACTAATCCTGCCATCTTCATCTTTATCAGCAAATAGTATTGTTTTATCGACAATTTGCTGTAATTGTGTATCTTTCAAGTTATTGCCTACCATCATTTTTAACACTTGAAAAAGCTCTCCATTGCTTATGTAACCATCATTATCCATATCATAAATCCTAAATGCAAATCGTAATTTGCTTTCTTTGTCACCCTATAATTTAATATTTTGCATAATTATTTATAAAGCTAAAAGTAATCTCCTTCTATAGAAGAAAAAAAGATTACCTTTACACTAAATTGAGATACCCCATGGATAAACTCTTTGAAATCCACTTCTCCATTGCCATCTGCATCAAATATGTCGATAACACGTTGAACTAGTGGATTCTGTTGTAACTCAGGCAGAGACATAAATTCGTCAATGCTGAGAGCTCCACTATTATCCAAATCTAACTTTCGAAATCTTTTTCCCAATCTTCTGATCTCGTCTACATCAACTAGAGAATAAAGATTTATATATCATTAAATATAGAGCAACATTATAAAAATATGACATCTTTCAATTCCTAACGTTCAAATTTCTAATATCATAAATTATATGAAAGCAAGGCATCGAAGATACAATATATCTCTAATGTAACAAGTCCTATTTTTTGCTATCTGACGAAATGATCAGGTTATTTCAAGTTATTTCCAGTAAAAATCAAAATATTTTCGACAACTTACAGTTCGAACAGAGTTCCATAGGCAGCGAACTTTCGTTACCCTGCAAGAAAAACGATTTTTTTTTAAAGATAAATCTGTGCATACATGGAGAGGATACATCTCAAAAATAAATAGCCTCGAAAATTATTTTCATGACGGAGTCGGGCTTAACAGAAGAAAACGCAGAATAATATCGCGATCATGGAAAAAGAATTATGCAAACTCCGCACAGAGCAATAGATTACCATTTTGAATTAATTTCGTGAATTTCTCGTAAAAATCTTCGAAAATAACAATATTTTCCAACGGACAGGTCAATGGAGTTGGAACACAATCGCCGTAAAGAGGGGCTGCGACATCGTATCGACGTTTTGCCCGTTTTTCCGTGGTAAGCGATTATCGTCCGTTGCGAATGAACTTTATTGGTTGGCCTGTTTCAAATGTTATTGGCGACCTCGGAGTCGTGCGTCTATCTCGATGCGCTATTTCGTGAAGACGGATGAAATTTATGTCGCTAACATCGCATCAACATTGAAAATACATATACTTTTATATTTAAAATAATTTCGTACAAATTTAATATATATAT